CAGTGTAAATTACGTGGTTCAGAGGTCTTCTAAAAGTGTTAAGTCAGTTACTCAAAGGTCGCCGGTTCAAGCCTTGTTGTGTTCACTTGACAGTGTGTGTTGTTTCCCTTGACAAGACTTTTGAACTGTTTTGTCTTACCCAGCTCCAGTGGCTACCGGCTTACACTGGGGGTTAATCTGTGAAAGACTGCTGCCCCATCCGCGGTGGAGGGGGTACAATTACACTCATTCGGTTAGCACCACAGAAAAAGGGGTCTAAGCACCGGCTTTGTGAACCTCATAGCTCTTAGATGGAATAAACGTTTTGAAAAAGATAAAGATAACAAAGAATTACCGATCTCATGAAGGTCTATAAACAATACAAATTTGTGAACAGGGAATAAAAGACGGGAAATTCCAGATCGAGTGTTTAAAAGGAGCAAACATACCCTGTTGATCAGTCACACCCGCCGTGAGCCTATGTTTTGATATAACTTAGCATAATATCCCATGTGTTAAAGAGTGGTTTTTCTATCAAATATATTTATATTCACTGAAATTGCAGACGTGTTTAACAGACTTGTCATTTTCTGTTCCAGGTACTTGAAAGTAATATGCAGAGAAAAATTAAAATGCTTACCAGCGAGAATGATCGCCTCAAACGGCGAATGCAGTCTTGAAGACTTCCAAGGTTGTTCACAAAGACTCCGCATAATGGCAAATTTGTCCTTTCAGAGAAACAAAGGTTCTTGGACTTTTTTCTCGAATGAAATAAAATCCCAATGTTTTATCTTAGATTGACAGTACTTGTAAAATGGAATAAAAACAATTTATCTACCCGGAAATTTTCGTTCTCCGTCAGATGCTTTTCAAAGGGAAAACAATTCATCAGAGAGGGGATCAGGTGCCATGGAGGTGTAGGCATCCCCTATCGACAGGTCACAGCCACCGTGTGCTCTTTGTCTTGATCGAGAAGGCGGAAAAATATGTAGACAATTCAATAGAAATATCATGAAAAGTTTCTTTTAATGATTAATGTTGCCAGTATATGAACATCATACCTGACAGATACATTATACAAGGGATAATAATAGTAAAAGTAAAAGTTGAAAATGGGAATACGTGAAATTAATATAACACATATGAAAAAGGTAAAGATAACAACAGTGATCGATTTCTCGAAAACTTCAAACAATACAAATTTACAAACAGGGCATAAACACGGACCGCTGGGAATTCCAGAGGTGGGATCTGTTGTCAATGAGAAAAACACCCCCTGTTGACCGATCTCATCCGTCGTGAGCCCTATGTATTGATCAAGTAGACGGGACATTCCGTAGTGAACTTAAGTATAAAAACAAAGATCTTACAATTGGTAGATAACAAGTCAGCAAAAATACGACCCTGTGTTAGCTTTGTTGCATATAAGGGCATTTTAATGACCATAGAATTTACGATTGCTAACTTTAAACGAGGTTGTTGAAATCCCTGTAACATCAACTTCTGTGTGAGTAGCCTGCATAAGGAAAGTTCACGATGAAAAAGCTTCAATCATCTCCTTTATCATACAATTTAGTTGTAAGTTGATCTTTGTCGTCTATAGTCAGTAAAATATCCAAATATGAAGCAGATGTGGCAGACACTGTGGTGTCTTTTATTTCTTATAAGGCTTGGTAAAGCATTTGCTAGATCCGGCAATATATCTCTGCTTCTAAAGATTTTTATGAAGTTTAGGAATCCAGTATAGAAAGGGTAGATCGAATTCACGTATGAAACACGAAAATGTGGTTTTGAAGATTTTCATATAATATGCCTAAATATTCTGAAAGTAAACTAAGCAAAGAATGAAAAACGACATTCAACAATCATTAACACATGCATCTTCTAAGTAGATGAGTAGAACGTATAGCAATAAAAAAGGTTTATTTTTTGTACGAGGATTGTCCGTTAAGTTCGTGGACAGACGTTAATTTTGGAAAATTTTAATAAAAAATATTATGTACTAAAATCTGTATTTCATTATCTTTCTTTTTTAGCATTTTATTCCTATTTACAATGTTAATTGAAAACTCAAATCATTAAGTATAATAATTAAAATTTTGATTAGGAGATGGAAAATCGACAGATATTTGATTTCTGATTTTTTAATTCCCTTTTCTTTGTTTTGCATAAGAAATCACGCCAATAATTAAAATTAATCATAACATAGGCAAAAGTCATCCTAAGACAGACTAGCAAAATTAAGATTTTTTTACGCATCTGAAATTCATATAAAAATCCATAAATATGTTATGCGGATTTACACTTAACGTTCAAAGGTTATGAAAGAGTTTACAGAGTAACATATACTCTTGAATTTTTTATTTATTTTTTGTGAAAAAGGCATCGAAAATTTGGATGGTTATTGTTTTATTCAAAATCTGTCTTTACTAAAAGCGTACTATTAGCATAATTTTGTTATTCTTATACATACATTATTATACATATTATATTGTAGTAGTTTGTGCTATGTATGGATCGTGGACGTCTGTCATTAGAGCACCTGACTAGTGATACAGATGTCGAGATACGAGGTTCGATTCCCAGTTTAGTCATACATTGTCTTCATTCATTTCATTCCTTCTTTCCTATACTAAGCATATGTTTAGCTTGAATATCCTCTGTTTTCATTTTACAAAGCCCGTATATATCTTTACTCCACACCAAAATATTAACCGATGTTAAGAAGTTTAAGGCGTCTGTTGTTAGAATATTTTTCATGAAAAGATTCAAAATCAAACGTTGAATCTTAAAATAACAGTAATCAATAACATCAAAACGTATGTTTTCTCAACATATCTTACATTCCATTTCGTTCAATAAATTAAATTATCTTTTATCACAGACAACTGTTTCTTCAGTGAAAATCGGAATTGAAAATTCTATATTGTTTGATTGGTTATCTATAAAAAAAAAAAATCCGTACAAGAGCTCCTAAGCTGATATTTAAAAGACGCTTGCAATGGCTCCTTTTTGTCTTCGTAGACTAACTCTTTCATATTGGAATCGGTGGGAATTTCGATAAGCACCAACTGTGCTCCTTTATAAGCCGATCAATTTCAGTTTATATTCCAATTGAACAGGTCTTGTTCAGACATTTCTAGAATGAGAATACTAAAGAGGTTAATGGGCAACTTAACTATAAAAGAACGGGAAGATTTCAGCTTTTCCATCGTTAACTCCTCCAGCTTATGTAAATGTACAAGTTTAGTAAAATCTAACAATCACCTGCATATGGTGTTATGTCTCCCAACTCATTTAATACACAGAAACATTTTGCCAGTGCGATTAAAATGTAAACCGAGGCAAGCTGATCACAAATCAATTGATGTAACTGAGCTTTCGATTATTTACTATGTCGTTAAAAGTCGATATTTTGTAAATTGTACGGTCGTTATAATGACCTTGTAATGACTTTTAGATCATATTTTGACTGATATTTCATACGTTTTTTTTTTAATTTTAACTACGGATTATTAAGTTTATCTAATCAATACAGAAGCCTCATAGCTTGAGTGACAGGGGTTGTTTCACTCTATATATAGCACCTGATCCCCAGTGTTTTCAGTGGATCGTTGATTTGGGGTTTTTTTCTGTTCGAATTCGGTTTTTTAGCTTTAAAGATTAGGAGTTTGGTCTCTGTTCCTTTTTTATTGCCTTATAATCGAAGAATGTCCGTCCGTCTGTCTATTTATCTGTTTGTCCGCAAAAACTTTAACATTGCCCGTGACTTTTGATTGGATGGAGCTATGGCTCTCATATTTCACATGTATATTCCTGGTCACAAGGCCTTTTTCGGGTACCAACACATTTGACCCACATTAAAAAAAACTTTAACTTTGGCCATAACTTTTTAATGGCTAGTGCTTGGGCTTTCATATTTCACAGGTATATTCATTGCGAATAAGTCCTTTCTTTGGGTAGCAACATTTTTCATCCCTTGACCTTGGAGTTTCACAAACACATCTTGTTCATTATAATAATGATTTGAGTCATATTTCTCTGCCTAAAATTTCAACCTTAAAAAATAAATTGAATAAAATCCTTTGTTTTGGTCCTAAATTAAAAATATGTTTTCAACAAACTTTAAACCTATAAGGTTCAGAATGGACATTTTATTTGAACATTTTAAATTTGGAATATATTCATAACATAATTATTTTAGTTCTTAATAATGAACTTTTCAGTGACAGTAAAATAAAATAAAAGTTTATTTAACAGGGATGTACAATTATAGTGTACCACACGCAGTGACTTTGACTACCTTGTTCTTGGAAAATATATATGTGTAGAAAAGGTTCAAAAACGAGTGAAGAAAAGACAAATAAACAAAATTTGAAATGATGCATTTTGGCTCAAGCAATCTATATTTTAAGATTCTCTATTTTCTTTAATTTGTTTGTTTCTTTGTTTTGATAAATTTAAGGCTAAAGTTAAAATTCAGTGTAATGTAGCTTGAGCATATTCATTTTGTATCAGTACTTTCTGAAATATGGGTTGAGAACCAGGAAAGGAGACAATTTATGACTGGCCCAGGATCCCAGTACTTTTAGTCAAGTGCTCTGAGCAACCCAGGTCGATATCCACAATCCAAAGAGCCGATACGTATACGTCCTTCCCCCTTTTTTCTTTGCCCTCGAAAACGCACTACACAGATTCTGCATCCCTGGTAGGACTTTCAGCTGCAAGTCCAGGGATAGGTATATGTGACAGGACAGGGGAAAAGTTATAGCTTGACCGGAAATCGGACCTGCGTTATAACTACTGAGCACTTAACGTAAAAACACTGATTTTGGTGGGTTCAAACTTTCATGGTGTGAGAAAAAGATAACGTGGGTTTGACTTCGTGATTGAAGAAGTGTAGAGGAGGGGTTCTGTCCTCAAGCACCTACAAGTTTGATAATGTCATTATGATTGTTTCAAAAAATCATAAAGGCGACAACAAATATACAGAAGCTTTCTCTGAAAAAGATCAAGACATATAGATTTATCTCAGGTTTATTTACATCTTATGTACAATATTTTGTGAAATGCTGCCTTGTTGAGGTTAAACACTTTCATAGATCAACAAATGGTCTGTAAACATAATCTTAAAGTTATATTCTACTTTTATTTCTATTTTAAAGTGACAGATCTTGAACGAACTGAGTTTAACTAATATGATTTTTTACAGCATCATGCAGTCAAAGTTATTGCAAGAATTAATTCTAGGAATTGAGCAAACTTTACAATGTTGGTAAAGATTTAGAAACTGATGAAAAAGAGAATTTAAACACAGAATTCATTCCCTTTGTGTTTTAAAAAGATTAACTTTACAAGGTTTGTAATATAAGAGAAATCGAAAACAAAACACAAACCTTAAATAAAATCCTTAAGCATGAAATTCAAGTGGGGATTAAAAAACCAAAAAATCAAGTGGGGATTAAAAAACCAAAAACAAATTTAAAAAATAACAAACAAACCACAATTTTCTTGGTACCCTAACATCTGATAGATTTTTTTTCCTTTACAATAATTATGTTTACTTCAAATCATTTTTTAAAATAAAGAATCAGTTATATTACAGTTCCTATAAGTTTCCAGTTTCCATACCTCTACCACTCAGCAATGTGTCAGGAATTTGTACACAGCATTAAAGAATACATATTAACAAAACTGACATAAATTATTGCAGTATGACACCCAGAATCAGGAACTGGTCTGTAGACACAGAACTATAGTATGATATCTAAATGTTGTGAGGGTTTTTCAATCAGTAATTTAAAAAATAGACTACTTACTACTTATTGCTAATTTTGATTTTACTAAATTAATTAAGATTCTGATAATCTATGATATTTTGCTCTATTCCATTACAAAGCAATTCTCAATATAGAGAATTTATATCAGAAATAGATAATGAATTTCACGGATAATTTAAACCAATGCTAAATATACACTGTGCCTTGTGTCCTAACCCAGATTTTAGAACTTCGCAAAAATAAAAAAACAATTATACTGTACATAAGAAACACAATGAAAAATTCTAAAATATTTTTGATATCTCTATTATAAAATCCAGTATGATTTGTATTTTATGTACAAATTGACTGTACAGGAAAGTAATTATAATATCAGAAAATAATAAATAGAATATACTAAAATTACATAATGCATTTAAAAACTTTACAAAACAAATAAGTTAGCAACATGTAACCAAACTCCTACAAATACTGTGTGTGTATTCAGGGTTTATTATGAGGCACCTGCGGTGCACTTTCTTGTGCGTTCATTCATAAATACCGCCAAAATATTTTACATAGAAGTACTGGTCTAAATCATGATACTGTGGAATCATTTAAATTCGTGGGAGTCAATGTTCGTGGGCAAACAAAATTTTATTGGTTCGTGGGGATGTAATTTCGTGGGCAGCACATTTATTTTGTTGATTTAATTAATCAGTACGTTGACAAAATAATTGTTCGTGGGGATGTAAATTCATGGGTAAGGGTTACCCACCAAATCCACAAACATTGATCCCCCACGAACAATGATGATTCCACAGTAGTGAATAACACTCCCCGTCCTGTGTTTCAGCTACATTCTGAATAGTCTTTGACAAGTACATGACTGTACAGTAAAGCTTACTTCAATCAATACAAAATAAAAACTTGGATCAGCAGTTTACTTGTGCTTTATATAATCAAATTCATACAGCCCACCTCTACTTGACTACTCTACAATCAATAAGGAACATAAATGTTTAATAATACCTAGATAGAACTAAAAACGTCCAAAGAACAACTACATACACTCAGATTCAAAAGAAGCCTAATAGTATTTGAAAATTTGCACTTTGAAACACAGACATTTTACTCCATCTTGATCTTGTTCCATTAATCAATTATCTTCTGGTCATTAGAGTTTCTTGTGTCGAGTTCAAGTTTCTGAAATCTCTGCATAACATAGCTTTAACCAGGAAACAGAATTTTGAACCTTCTAATTGGCCTTGGCTCTTCAGAAATAGCTCTCAAGAGCTAATGTTTTTGTTTACAAAACCCAACTTTGAATAAATTTACATAAATTTACATTACCTTAGGTTCTTCTAACCAAAATTATATCTCGGAATTTTCCAAATGACTTTGGTTAAGGGACAAAGCATTCTTTCTGGTTATTAGAAACCTTTAAGTCATGCATGACCTTTGACTTTTCTCCTTAAGAGTCCTTGAACCCTGTCCTTGGCTCCAATGCCCTTGAAACATTATCATAACTCTCCCCACTTGTCATGGTAAAACTTTGTTCTCAAAGAGTTTCAAATATTTCTCCACGATAAGGTTGTGGCATAGAATCAAAAGGGAAGAAAGATGGAAATGATTCCTACCTCACCAAATCTTATTCAGGGGGTAACTTGTTTTTTATATACGTGTAATAACATTTTAAAAAAAGTTATCCACCCCCCTCTGAGATTCATATTTTATAACACTAATTAAGTAAAACCTTCACCATAAATTGTCTATAAACTGAGATATTTGGCAATGAAACCAAATCTAACAATTGTAGCCTCTATTAAAAGACTAACCTACCTGCACTTTTTTTCAACTATTACCCTGATATCAGTATCTCAATAAATCTGATGCTTTCCTGTTAATACACATAGAATTACATAGTTTATGCTTGGTTTATAAAAAAATAATCATATGAGAAATAATGTTTTGCCTAACAATGGCTTTTTCTTATTATAAATACTTACATGTACTTACATGTACTACTTCGATTTAATTAACAAACAAAAAATAAAAATACCCGGGTAGAATGACACTTTACAAAATGGAAAACGTGTACATATACAGTAGCTTGACAGCGAAAATTAGCTTAACTGACCAAGTAAACCATGCTCCAAAGCATTAATTACCCAGGAATCCATGCTTCAAAGCATTAATTACCCAGGAATCCATGCTTTAAAGCAATAATTACCCAGGTATCCATGCTCCAAAGCAATAATTATCCAGGAATCAATGCTCCAAGATATTTATAAAATGCTGTTTCTTATTTTTTTTTTAATACAGTCTGTAAATAAACATATACTTCTTAAGTACAACACAACAATTACTTCATGGAAGTACAATAAAAACAAATACTTAATGGTTCAAGCAAACAGAATGAAGTTATAATTACAGTAAATTGCTGGTAGCCAATGTTTAAGAATAGACCAATAAAGTTATGTAGCTGATTTACAGCACATAGCTGTTAGGCTGGGTATATGATTTGTCCTGAGATCGGTTTATTGCTAGGCTTACATCTGCACAGCAGAAAAATAACAACAGAGTCTGTACTCATGTCCCTAATTCTACCACATTTCTCTTACCCTTCAACAGTACTTCACTGAATGCATATTAAGATCAATCTCTATTTTCTTTTCTGATTCAAAAATATACATTCTAAAATAATAAGACTTTCAGTTACTTGAATCATACAATTGTGACAGTAACAAAAATTCTGTAAGTAGCTAAAACAGAATTAAAATGGTTTTAGAGCAAGAAGTCCATGGAATTGGGCAATTCTAAGATTCAATGCCTTGAAATTTAATGACATAATAAAAGGAACTTCTAATAATGATTAAAAAAAATACAATGCATTCTTGGAGATCTGAACAATGGGAGAACAAGTCTTACTGGAGGTTTGAGAGGTTGTTTTACTGAGAACTTTAAGATCAGAACATGCCAAGCTTATTGATCTTAAGAATTTTCCCAAGTCTCTGTTTTGCTGTGGCTAATCCTTTCTTTGGCTTTTTGGCTAAAAAAAAATGTTCACAATGTATCAACATATATCTGATATATGTATTTAGACAGTCAATATAAGTTAAAAATTCTGAAAAAAAATAGCCCGCTATCCCAGGATAAGTAAAATAGAACTTTGATCAGGTCTTTATAAACATCATTAAACTGAAAATTTTCTAAATGGACTGTTTATTGATCAACTGGATCATTGAAAAAAGGAATTTGACCAACAATATGAAATTTTGATCAAAGAGAGAGCTTGTATAGAAAAGTCTACTACATCAATTATGTCAATGTGGTTGACTGAAGACCTACCTCTGTGGTTTACCATGTACCTACAACTGTGGTTGACTGAATATCTAACTATCTATCACTGTGGTTGACCTTGTACCTACCACTGTGGTTGACAGTGTATCTTACATTGAGGTTGACTGAATATCTATCACTGTGATTGACCATGTATCTATCACTCTAGTTGATGATGTGGGCTGACCTAGTAGATTGTGACTGACCATGTATGTACCACTGTGGTTGATTTTTTATCTAGCTTTTGACAGAATTCAATTGATAACAGTGATATATGATTGGTTTGACTACATAAATGCCTTAAACTGATCTTGAAAATTCCCCCTAAGTTGTGCATGCTGTGACTTCAAACCTACAACGTACCTTTGACAGAACTTAACTGAAGGGTCCTTCTATTTGTGCTTGGTGTGACTTGAAACTTACATTGTAACTTTTAAAAGAATCCCCCCCCCCTCAGATAGGACTGCTTGTTGGTTTATTACTAACAGTACAAACCTTTGACAGGACTTGATGGTTCTCCCTGAGAGGTGACTGGTTTGACTAGGTTTGGACGGAATGCTGAACCTGCAACAAAAAAGGACATTGTATTAACCCCTCAGTAAGATAAGAGTTGATGTAATTCACTAGGATATGCATGTTAATGTCTTGCTTAATTATTATTACTTATATGGAGGATCACCCTATAAAAAAAACTGTCGTTAACTGTTAACTGTTTAGCTGATTATCACCCTCTTCAACAGCCTGTCATTAACTTTAAGTTGAGGAACAGACCTATTTGGAGGACTACATTCTGTGAAAGTGTGTCATTAAAGTTGAAGGTCAGACTATGTTGGAAAATCACCCTCTATAACAGTGTGTCATTAAAAGCTGAAGGACAGACTTCTATTTAAAGGAGGATCACTCTCAGTAACAGTGTGTCATTAACTTTAAGTTGAGGGACAGTTTACCTGGAGTCACTGTGGAGGAGAAGGGACAGTTTACCTGGAGGAGAGAAGGATAAGGCAAAACTTTTAGTTGAAGGACAGATTACCTGGAGAATCACCCTCTGTGACACCATGTAGTTAACTTTTAGTTGAGGGACAGCTTACCTGGAGCGGAGGAGGATAAGGCAGTTCCCGGTGTATTACTGGAGTCACTTTCTGAGAAACTTTCTGATTTTAATCGTTTTCTTGGCTTCTTTGGCTTCTGTAATAGTTATCAACAAAATATAATGGTATAGCAACAGCCTAAATCCAATTTATCATATGCAGAAAAGCACAATTTTGATGAAAGAGATATAAAGATTAAAGTTGAAAATTACTTATTGGTGTGACTTTAATTACTTATGATGGGTGAGCATTAACAGTTAATTAATGGTGGTGCCTGTTGTAACTAAATAACTGATGGAGTTGTAAGTAACTAACTGGTGGTGTTGTAACTAACAGGTGGTGTTGTAATTAATTGGTGGTGTTCTAATTAACTAACTGGTGGTGTTGTAAGTAACTAACTGGCGGTGTTGTAAGTAACTAGCTGGTGGTGTTGTAATTAACTGGTGGTGTTGTAAGTAACTAACTGGTGGTTAAGTAATATATAATTGGTGGTGTTGTAACTAGTTGGTGGTGTAAGTTATTTATTGGTGGTGCCTGTTGTACATAACTAACTAGTGGTGTTTGTTAGTTAGTTACTAGTGGCGATTGATAACTTCCTTATTGCCGATGTCTGTGTATGGGTATCTAATAGGGATGATTGTCAATGATTTTTTATTGATAAGGGTACTGTTTGGTTACTTGCTGGTGATGTCTGTTGTTTGCCACATAATGGTGAAGTTTGTTGTTGTTATAATTGGTTATGACTCTGATTTCTTACTTTAATGTTGGAGGGGTCTCCATTTAATTATTTCAGGTGGTGAATGTGGTTGCTTGTTTATGGTATTGTGATTTTATTTTACTTACTGGTCATTTCTGTGACTGTAGTTAGTTAATTACTAGTGGTGCCTGTGCCAGTTATTTTTGGCAATGTATGCAGTTGTTTACATATGGAGATAACTGTAGTTAGTTACTTACTGGTGGTGTGTGTGTTACTTTTGGCGGTGTATGCAGTTGTTTACATATGGAGATAACTGTAGTTAGTTACTTACTGGTGGTGTGTGTGTTATTTTTGGCGGTGTATGCAGTTGTTTACATATGGAGATAACTGTAGTTAGTTACTTACTGGTGGTGTGTGTGTTAGTTATTTTTGGTGGTGTATGCAGTTGTTTACATTTGGAGATAACTGTAGTTAGTTACTTACTGGTGGTGTGTGTGTTAGTTATTTTTGGCGGTGTATGCAGTTGTTTACATATGGAGATAACTGTAGTTAGTTACTTACTGGTGGTGTGTGTGTAGTTGTTTTTGGTGGTGTATGTAGTTTATTTATGGGAATGGCGGTGTCTGTACTTAGTTACTTACTGGTGGTGCTGGTTTTGCTGCCGCAGCTGCCAGGACTTGCTCGACTGCCTCTTTCTTCACCCCTTCCCTGTGTGGTCTTTCTCCCTTCACACCAGACACGTGGACTCGAGCTGTAGACAAGAGAAATATTCAGTCTTAAACAGCTACAGAACGAGGATCACATCAGGATTATTTTTCGATTTTGAGCAGTTAGATAAAAAATCTATTTCATAAATCCAAAGACTTTTTTTGTGAAAAGGGTTACAGGTATCCACTGTACTTGTTTCAACAACTCTGATAGTTATTCACAGGATATGATCTGAACAGGACCTTAATTTACAAAGGGTTTCACATTTGTCCATCAATCAAAAAATAGTTGACCCCTGACCTTTAGGATTCCAGTTGTCATCTCGAGATCCTTTAGAGTCTCGGACCTGCTCCATTTCATCATCTGACAAATCCAAGCCTGGATAAACTGTTGGATTTAAAGGAAAATGAGGAAGAAATGTTACATATGTTAAAAGAATGATTTTTACAAAAATTTTAACAAAATGAGCAGAAATCATGTTAAATTCTCATACATGAACTGCAATAACAGGAATAAAGGGATTTCATGATATCTGAGGATTTGAGATAACAAGGTTAATATAAACATGGTGGTAAAAAGGGGTTTGAACTGCCAAATTATTTTGACATATCCCAGTATTCGAGATATAGGTGTTCCAAAAAAATGAAGTTCGACTGTATATGGGCAAATCCTGTATATTATGCAAAATAGAAAAATCCTTGTCTTTAATGATAGACTTAATCAAACCCTTCATCACTGATTATTTTACTGTGATTTACTGAAATAATTGTCTTGATACACTATACATGTACCTACACTGTTAGACTTACTGAATTCCTCGTCTTTGTAACACTGTCCTAGTTTCCCCCTCCTTTTATACACTGTACATGTACCTACACTGTTATCTTTACTTACTGAATTCCTCGTCTTTATAACACTGTTCTAGTTTCCCCCTCCTTTTATACACTGTACATGTATCTACACTGTTATCTTTACTTACTGAATTCCTCGTCTTTATAACACTGTTCTAGTTTCCCCCTCCTTTTATACACTGTATATGTACCTACACTGTTATCTTTACTTACTGAATTCCTCGTCTTTATAACACTGTTCTAGTTTCCCCCTCCTTTTATACACTGTACATGTATCTACACTGTTATCTTTACTTACTGAATTCCTCGTCTTTATAACACTGTTCTAGCTTAGCCTCCTCCTCCATTATCATCTGATTTCTGTTATGAAGTCGCTGAACTGTGGTGGACCGTTTGTCGCGGAACAGTTGCTGCCCATCACCCATTCGACTCATGGACAGCATGCCCTGGATAGCATCCCTCATGCTTGGGGATGATGTCCTCCTTCATTATAGAGAATATAATCACTGAACAGAATGGATATTAGCTAAGAGAGACAAGTCTTCATTTCAAAAATTTAAAATATCAGTTTCCTAAACAAAATTTTCATCTTCAAATTATTTGTGTCACATTGTACCCCATATGATACACTCAGCTTTAATTTCATCATCTACATCTATTAGAGAATTGTCCAAATTAAGAAATTTGTTTTTAGTGATTGTTTCTAGGTTAAACTTTATTTCATAGAAAGAATATACCTATTAAAATACTATAAGTAAAACATGGGGGAAAAAGTTCCCAATCAAACAGGGAAGTGTCTTTCCAATCCCTAACCTTAGTGTCATTATAATACTTAATATTATTTCTATTGAATACTTTTAGTATTCAATATAATGGTGTGTGTATATATATACTGAGCTGATTAAGTTCACTTTACATCAGGGTATCTGTTATACTATTCAATGATAATAAAGTATTAATGAACAGAAATAACTGTTGTTTACTTATAATGGTAAAATACCTGCAAATGATGTTTTCAATTACTGTTAATTATCAGCTTAGTCTAACATAATCTTAAAAATTTTTTAATCTATTTCACACTGTGCATTTACTGCAGATTTCCAATTTACATCAAAGGGCAGATAACTGCATAAAATACAATGGTATTAGAACTCTTCAGTGAGTAGTGCTTAAGAGCTCCTTCAAAAAATGATTTTTTTCAACAATTATTCAATAAAATACATGTACATTACCAGAGATGACACAGACTGAGTGTATATCTCATTTAGTAACCTAATAGCATCAGTGTATATCAGCATAGATTTATCTCGCTACTTACTCATTGTCCACAATAAAATCTGTCTCTGTTCCGTAACCACTGGCCTCTAGGATGTCCGAGATGCTGCAGTTAAGTCCGCCCTGAATTGTGGGAAGGTTTGCGCGGGGGATTCCCGGGGATTCCTCTGGTTCACTTTGACTGGTGGCAGTCTCAGACTCCTGGGTACTCTCGTGTCCCAACATGTTGTCGGGGGGCAGGGCCTTACCAGCAACTGTGATAGAGCAATGTTTAAGATAAATTCCAGGCTTTTTGATATCAGAGATAACTGCTTTTTCAAAAAAGTATAACTCAGAAATTTTCATATCTTTTATTGATCATTTACAAAATTATTTTGTGAAAAATCCCTATGATTCGACACATAAGTACTCTGAGGTTGATATTAAAAAGATCCTGGATTTCCTGATCCACAATGTTTTTATTGTCTTTGAAGACCATTTTTTTTTTTTCAACAATGTGTTGAAATTTCAATTGTCACTAATCATGCTAATTGTGCTCCTTTCTTAGCTGACCTGATTTTATATCCTATAAAGCAGAATGTAGTAAAAAAAAAAAACTACTACTGTACATAAGAAGACACCTGTATCACTGATGTTTTATCAATTGATAATAGCTACTTCCTTTCTTATGTCAATTTGATATATCCCAGTGAACTTGAAATAAAACTAAAAGACACCATTTGAAAGAGTCTGCCAAATCTGTTTCATATTTGTTTCATATTTGGATGTTTTACTGACTATACCAGATAAAGGCCAACTAACAACTAAATTGTATGACAAAGGAGATGTTGACAGCTTTTCCATTGTCAACTCTCCTTATTTTTGTAGTTCTGCTATCACCTGCATATGGTGTTTATTTGATACTTTAGAGCATGCTTTGAGTATGATCAATTTTTAAACTGAGGCAAGCTACTGACAAATAAATTGATGTTACAGGGTCTTAAATAATCTAATTTAAAGTCATCATTTTTTTTAACCGATTCTTAATTATAGACTTAAAAGACAACTTGAGTTTGAGCGAACCTGGTTTAATACTTTGAAGACAACTTGAGTTTGAGTGAGCCTAGATTAACACTTACAAGACAACTTGAGTTTGAGCGAGCCTGGTTTCATGGTGGATGCTGAGGAGGGAGATCCCATTGGTCGTTTGTTTTTCCTTGGGTTCTCGTCCACAACTAGATTGTCTGTGTCACTGTCATTCTCCTCATTCTCCCCGCTCTGACTCGAGTGACCAGACCTTCCTTTAGCATCACTGAAATATACAGTGTAAATAACATCTCATGATTTTATACAGAGTTACTTTTCACAATTATTAGTATCACTGCTCTTACACCTTCAGCTCTTACCTGATGAACTTGCCTTTTGACATTTTCAGTTTGAGTTTACCTGATAACCTTGCCCTTTGACACTTTCAGTTTGAGTTTACCTGATAACCTTGCCCTTTGACACTTTCAGTTTGAGTTAACCTGGTAACCTTTCCCTTTGACACTTTCAGTTTGAGTTTACCTGATAATCTTGCCCTTTGTCACTTTTACCTTGAGCTTACCTTATTATCTTGCCCTTTGACACTTTCAGTTTGAGTTTACCTGATAATCTTGCCCTTTGACACTTTCAGTTTGAGTTTACCTGATGACCTTGCCCTTTGACACATTCAGCTTGAGCTTACCTTATTATCTTGCCCTTTGACACTTTCAGTTTGAGCCCTATTCCTAGATCATCCTTCTCTTGTTTGATATCTGGATCTAACTTCACGAATTTCTCCTTTTTTGTCATGGAATCTAGATATGCCCCTGCCTTAGGAATTCTGACTTTTAATGAAGCTGAATTGGAGTCCTCATCCTACAAAGCAAATCCAAACATAAAATACGGTCTCTCAGAGCAAATCTTTTTGTGAACTAAATTGTTGCAGTGTGACTGTTTTGTGTGTTTTGAGTATGACTGTTTTTACACTTCTTGTAATAAGTAAGTTTATTCCCCCTGTATAACAGCAAAAGCCATTTTCTTTTACTCCAAGAATTACTGTATTGGAAAATTTGGGGGGGTTTTATAAACATATTTCAGTATGACTGTTTATGTGAATTACTGTATTTGAGTATGACTGTTTTTTTTACTTACCATATTTGAGTATGATTGGTTTTTGACTTACCGTATTTATGTGACTTACCATATTTGAGTATGGCTTGCGTTCTTCAAACATGGTCTGTAGAGCTTCTGTCATGTGCTGATGTAGAAGACCCATGTTTTTTGACTTACCGTATTGAGTACGACTGTTTTTTTAATTACCGTATTTCAGTTAGACTGTTTATGTGACTTACCATATTTGAGTATGACTGGGTTTTTTACTTACCGTATTTGAGTAATACTGTTTTTTACTTACCCTTTATGAGTATGACTTGTTTTTTATTTTCTTACTATATTTAAGGATGACTGTTTTTGCGACTTACCGTATCGGAGTATGACAGTGTTTTTTACTTCATGTATTTAAATGTGACCTACCATATTTGAGTATGACTATTTCTGTGACTTACCGTATTTGAGAACGACTTGCATTCCTCATCCATGACCTGTAGAGCCTCTGTCATGTGCTGATGTAGATCAATATTTCTGTGACTTACCGTATTTGAGTATGACTATTTCTGTGACTTACCGTATTTAAGTATGACTATTTCTGTGACTTACCGTATTTGAGTATGACTATTTCTGTGACTTACCGTATTCGAGTATGACTTGCATTCCTCGTCCATGGCCTGTAGAGCTTCTGTCATGTGCTGATGTAGATCAATATTTATGTGACTTACCGTATTTGAGTATGACTATTTCTGTGACTTACCGTATTCGAGTATGACTTGCGTTCCTCATCCATGGCCTGTAGAGTTTCCATCGTGTGCTGATGTAGATCAATATTTATGTGACTTACTGTATTTGAGTATGACTATTTCTGTGACTTACCGTATTTGAGTATGACTTGCGTTCCTCGTCCATGGCCTGTAGAGCTTCTGTCGTGTGCTGATGTAGATCAATTTTTATGTGACTTACCGTATTCGAGTATGACTTGCGTTCCTCGTCCATGGCCTGTAGAGCTTCTGTCATGTGCTGATGTAGATCAATATTTCTGTGACTTACCGTATTCGAGTATGACTTGCGTTCCTCGTCCATGGCCTGTAGAGCTTCCATCGTGTGCTGATGTAGATCAATATTTATGTGACTTACCATATTTGAGTATGACTATTTCTGTGACTTACCGTATTCGAGTATGACTTGCGTTCCTCGTCCATGGCCTGTAGAGCTTCTGTCATGTGCTGATGTAGATCAATATTTCTGTGACTTACCGTATTCGAGTATGACTTGCGTTCCTCGTCCATGGCCTGTAGAGCTTCCATCGTGTGCTGATGTAGATCAATATTTATGTGACTTACCATATTTGAGTATGACTATTTCTGTGACTTACCGTATTCGAGTATGACTTGCGTTCCTCGTCCATGGCCTGTAGAGCTTCCGTCGTGTGCTGATGTAGAAGGTCTATATTCATCATCTGTTTCTTTGTCGGGAGGTTCTTCTTTTTCTTCTTTTTCTCCCCTCGTACTTTCTCGACCTTTAACCTGTCTCCTTTTGTCCTCAGTTTCACTGGACTAACTTTCGGCTGAAAAATAAAACTTAATTTTACATTCAATTTTCCAGTTATTTTCCCTAAAATGCACTTCATGAAATATGCTGCCATGAAACATTGCAATTCAGGTCCTCTGGAATTCTCAAAAAATCAATAAATAATATATTTCTTAAATTTATTCCCTTTATACTTGAAACTACTCAAAATTCTTAACCCCTTTATACATTCATATCTGCCAACAGTACAATTACCAGAAAAAGAAAACATGAAGAAAATTATTTTAAGGGGTATTAAATAAACCATGTATCAGAGAATATACTTGTATAAAAACTAGAAATATGTCCATAGGACATGAATGCCCCGCCGAGGGTATATTAGTAATGCAACATTTTAACACAAATTGAGAAAAGTGAGGTCAAGGTCAAAGGAAAGGTCAAGGTGAAAAAATATTGATGCAGTTGAATAGCTTACATTAGTATGTATCAGCATATGAAGTTTGACACAAATTGAGAAAAGTGAGGTCAAGGTCAAATGAAAGGTCAAGGTCAAAAAAATGTTGATGCAGTTGAATAGCTCTCATCAGTATGTATCAGCATATGAAGTTTGATAACACTATCTTGATGGTATCTTTAAAACTGAGCTAAAAACTTATTTAAGAAAAGTGAGGTCAAGGTCAAAAGAAAGGTCAAGGTCAAAAAATATTGATGCAGTTGAATAGCTCTCATCAGTATGTATCAGCATATAAAGTTTGACACTAATTTAAGAAAAGTGAGGTCTAGGTCAAAGGAAAGGTCAAGGTCCAAAAAAAATGTTGATACAGTTGAATAGCTCTCATCAGTATGTATCAGCAAATGAAGTTTGGTAACACTATCTTGAATAGTATCTTTAAAACTGAGCTAAAAACTTATTTAAGAAAAGTGAGGTCAAGGTCAAAGGAAAGGTCAAGGTCAAAAAATATTGATGCAGTTGAATAGCTCTCATCAGTATGTATCAGCATATGAAGTTTGATAACACTATCTTGAATAGTATCTTTAAAACTGAGCTAAAAACTTATTTAAGAAAAGTGAGGTCAAGGTCAAAAGAAAGGTCAAGGTCAAAAAATGTTGATGTAGTTGAATAACTTACATCAGTATGTATCAACATATGAAGTTTGATTACACTATCTTGAATGGTATCTTTAAAACTGAGCTAAACACTAATTCAAGAAAAGTGAGGTCAAGGTCAAAAGAAGGGTCAAGGTCAAAAAATGTTGATGCAGTTGAATAGCATACATCAGTATGTATCAACATATGAAGTTTGATTACACTATCTTGAATGGTATCTTTAAAACTGAGCTAAACACTAATTTAAGAAAAGTGAGGTCAAGGTCAAAGGAAAGGTCAAGGTCAAAAAATATTGATGCAGTTGCATAGCTCTCATCAATATCTATCAGCATATGAAGTTTGATAAAAATATCTTGGATAGTTTCTTTGAAACTGAGCTTTGAAGAGAGCTAAACGCAAAGTGTGACGGAAGGACAGAAGGACGGAAGGACGGAAGACGGACATGACAAACACTATATGCCCCGGCCATATTCATGGCGGGGCATAAAAATAAGTCTGAGAATTTTTTTAATGTTAGCAAAGTCACACTTTATAACCTTAACATCTTGACACATTTTACACAAATTGAGTATTTATATGATTTAAAACAATTTATTTTAGGATATTTTTTCAAATACCGAGGTGTCGAAGGCCCGGATTTCCTTCTGCAGGTCCTTAAGAAGACGGCCATAATTCAGGTGCTCAGGAACATCATGTTTGGCATCCTTCAAGAACTGTCAAAAACATACAACATTTCATCAATACATTGGCATAAAGCAAGGTTATTCACATTGACCAGTACTGTTATTTCAAATCTTTCCAGATATCAGTTAACAATAAATTATTTTTGGATAAAATTAATTTTTCTCATGTTTCATCAATCTGAATCTTAAATATTTGCTACAAGTATAAAAAATACATATATTTTTACTTTCAATCTCAATTCTTACAGAAGCAGCTGAACCTTCACCCAATCTCTTGATAAGATTACATAATTATTTATGGTTCTCTATAGAAGCAGTAATTGTTAAAAGCACTACGGAAGTCAATCTATATGATGTATTTCATTGTATCAAAGTTAGTTGTAAAAGTGTCTAGTAAACTATCCAAAGAAATTTACAAGTCAGCTGATTTTTGACAAAGACTCCATGATAGCTTTTTATCAATGAATATTTTTGGGCTTTCAGGATATCAATTATAAACATTTATACTTTTAAACACAAATCACCTTCCCATATCTAATTCTTTACACATAATGTGAATAGGCTATAAAATTCCCCCAATAGGAGATTGGTGATTTACAAAATTCTGAAAATGAAATGAATACCAAGTGTGAAAGAGGTAAGTTCTTACATCAAAAACCATTCAAAATTTAACATGTTCTGTACACCATGTTACCATAATGAATAAAAGTCTGATATTAAACATAAAGGAAGTAACATTCTATATTTTTAATATCGTGAGTGTGTTATTTACTGCATGTACTTTTAAACAAGAGGCCCATGGGCCACAACGCTCACCTGAGTCAATATGGCCCTGCTGTTCTTCGTCAGCAGATTTCTTCTCCTATATTTCTCCTATATATTCATATATAAAGCTTTGATCGCCTGTTCTAGGCATACCCTACCCCAAGGTGCCATGTTTTGAATGAAATTGAATATAAACCTTCTGAGGATGCTTCTATCTTCATATAACTAATCATGATTTTGCTGTTCTTTAAAACAGAATTTTATCTAACACCCTACCCTGGGGGGGGGGGGGGGGGGGGGGGTCATGATTTGAACAAACTTGATTGTACACTACCTGAGGATGCTTCCATATCAATATGACTGATCATGGCTTTGTTGTTCTTGAGATTGATGAAGATTTTTAAAGATATTTCCTGTATATGTTCTATTGTAAAACTTTGATCCCCCATTATGGCCCCACCCTACCACTGGAGGATGTCTTAAACTAGCTTGAATCTACAATATTTGGGGAAGATCCCATATCAATATGACTAATTGTGGCTTTGTTGTTCTTGGGAAGAAGATTTTTAAAGATTTTCCCTATATATTCCTATGTTAAACTTTGATCCCCCATTGTGGCCTCACCCTTCTCCCGAGGGTCATGATTTGAACAAATCTGAAGCTACACTACTTGAAGATGATTCCATATCAATATGACTAATTGTGGCTTTGTTGTTCTTGAGAAGAAGATTTTTAAAGATTTTCCCTATATATTTCTATGTAAAACTTTGATCCCCCATTGTGGCCCCACCCTACCCCCGGGGGTCATGATTTGAACAAACTTGAATCTACACTACTTGAGAATGATTCCATATCAATATGACTAATTGTGACTCTGTTGTTCTTGAGAAGAAGATTTTTTTTCTATATATTCCTATACAAAACTTTGATCCCTCATTGTGGCCCCACCCTACCCCCGGGGGTCATGATTTGAACAAACTTGAATCTACACTACCTGAGGATGATTCCATATCAATATGACTAATTGTGGCTTTGTTGTTCTTGAGAAGAAGATTTTTAAAGATTTTCCCTATATATTCCTATGTAAAACTTTGATCCCCATTGTGGCCCCACCCTACCCCCGGGGGTCATGATTTGAACAAACTTGAATCTACACTACTTGAGGATGATTCCATATCAATATGACTGATTGTGACTCTGTTGTTCTTGAGAAGAAGATTTTTTTTCTATATATTCCTATACAAAACTTTGATTCCTCATTGTGGCCCCACCCTACCCCCGGGGGTCATGATTTGAACAAACTTGTATCTACACTACCTGAGGATGATTCCATATCAATATGACTAATTGTGGCTTTGTTGTTCTTGGGAAGAAGATTTTTAAAGAATTTTCCTATATATTCCTATGCAAAAATTTGATCCCCCATTGTAGCCCCACCCTACCCCCAGGGGTCATGATTTGAACAAACTTGAATCTACACTACCTGAGGATGATTCAATATCAATATGACTAATTGTGGCTTTGTTGTTCTTGGGAAGAAGATTTTTAAAGATTTTCCCTATATATTCCTATGTAAAACTTTGATCCCCCATTGTGGCCCCACCCTACCCCCGGGGGTCATGATTTGAACAAACTTGAATCTACACTACCTGAGGATGATTCCATATCAATATGACTAATTGTGGCTCTATTGTTCTTGAGAAGAAGATTTTTAAAGATTTTCCCTATATATTCCTATGTAAAACTTTGATCCCCATTGTGGCCCCACCCTACCCCCAAGGGTCATGATTTGAACAAACTTGAATCTACACTACTTGAGGATGATTCCATATCAATATGACTAATTGTGGCTTTGTTGTTCTTGGGAAGAAGATTTTTAAAGAATTTTCCTATATATTCCTATGTAAAAATTTGATCCCCCATTGTAGCCCCACCCTACCCCCAGGGGTCATGATTTGAACAAACTTAAATCTACACTACCTGAGGATGATTCCATATCAATATGACTAATTGTGGCTTTGTTGTTCTTGGGAAGAAGATTTTTAAAGATTTTCCCTATATATTCCTATGTTAAACTTTGATCCCCCATTGTGGCCTCACCCTTCTCCCGGGGGTCATGATTTGAACAAACTTGAATCTACACTACTTGAGGATGATTCCATATCAATATGACTAATTGTGGCTTTGTTGTTCTTGGGAAGAAGATTTTTAAAGAATTTTCCTATATATTCCTATGTAAAAATTTGATCCCCCATTGTAGCCCCACCCTACCCCCAGGGGTCATGATTTGAACAAACTTAAATCTACACTACCTGAGGATGATTCCATATCAATATGACTAATTGTGACTCTGTTGTTCTTGAGAAGAAGATTTTTTTTCTATATATTCCTATACAAAACTTTGATCCCCCATTGTGGCCCCACCCTACCCCCGGGGGTCATGATTTGAACAAACTTGAATCTACACTATGTAATGAAGGTTTCACATAAGTATAAACTTTTCTGGCTCAATGGTTCTTGAGAAGAAGATTTTTAAAAGATGACACCAAATTTTCACTAATTCTTAATTATCTCCCCTTGGAAGAGGGCGTGGCCCTTCATTTGAACAAACTTGAATCCCCTTCACCCAAGGATGCTTTGTGGCAAGTTTGGTTGAAATTGGCCCAATGGTTCTGGAGAAGAAGTCGAAAATGTGAAAAGTTTACAGACGGACGGACAGACGGACAGACAGACAGACAGACAGACGGACTACAGACAAAATGTGATCAGAAAAGCTCACTTGAGCTTTCAGCTCAGGTGAGCTAAAAAACTACAAACAAGAACAAGTATGTATATCTTGTTTCTTCAGTGTCAGATTCAGTATACATACAAAAAAGAACTTCCTACATTCAATTGATAAGCAGAATACAAAGCAACAGTGTGCGAAATTAACGGTAGACCGATAGACAAAATCTATAGAAAATGCGTCCGGTCTATAGCAAGGTGAATATCTCAAGACCGATTTGTCTATAGAGTAAAATTGGCCGTTTTACTCAATACAACTTTTCAGCCAAGGAAAAACTTAAGCTTCAATGCTCTATTGTTCATAAATCTCCTTCATCTAATCCATTTTGCAGTACTACATGTTTTATTTATTCCTAAAACGATTGTCATTTTTTGTAGTCCGAATTTCCTCAATTCCTCTGTTTATTGTAGATACGTCTAAATATCCCATAAAATTATCCCCTGACTCAGTGAACCAAAGAATGGGTATTGGTTTAATTTATATCACATAAAAAATATAATTAAAATACATTTTAAATTTTAAAATGAAAAAAAAAAACCAATGTTCACTCTATAATCTATAGGTATGCATCTTTGCAAAAGGGGATAGAAAGATAGTTAAATTCAGTGATATTTATGCATGACTATTGATTAACTAGTACATAAAAATGATAAAAAATCATCTTCATTTTCAGCAATATGCTTAATTTTTTTAAACCAATATGGCAAATGAAAACAAATATCCTAAGAGCCTAGAATTTTTTTCTTCAACATGTTACAGTAAACACATTTTTTGCCTATTCACACAAGTTTTCATTAACAAAAATTGAAATCTTCTTAGGAATTTTAATGTTCCCTGCATCTGTAAAATTCAACATAATAAATTTACTGTTCAAAGTGTAAACCCCCCCCCCCCAAATTATTTCTTAATAATCATGGTTATAAACCTCCATGTATCTTATGCCAATTCTTAAAATAATGCAGTGTACAGAAAAAGGAATAAGCCATTGAAAAATATACAATTAAATAAAAACACTGATATATAATTTTTTGGTCTATAGGAAATTTCTCAGCTCTATAGAATTTCGAATTATTGTAGACCAATTGTCTGTAGCTTAAAAAAGTTAGTTTCGCACACTGAAGCAACCAACTAGCCAAACATTTGTCTGTTTCATGCAAGGGGTAAATTAGTTGTGGCTTCCACTAGAAGTAATAAAGGACTGGTGTTATAACACCTTCAACCAAATCACTGAAAACCTGGTAATTTATTGTGTTAATTGTTTTTCTTCTTAGTTAAATCATTAAACTTTATCTACCAGGAAAGATTTTGAGGCATAATGTAACATATAGGTGCAAGTGTGTTTTCAAATTGCTTTTAATTCTGTTGTAAAGAAAGTTCTCTGGTACCTTTTCCTTGACAAAATGAATTCAAGTTTCAATTATAGTTTTGAAAATATGATTTGGTATATTTTAAATATTGAATATTAAACATAAATATGACCATCATGCATCATGCATTAATCATTGACAATATCTAAGTTTCCGGTTTAAATACAACAGATTACAATAAAATACAGCAAACAGGTGCCCTTTATGTTGGTAATCACACACACAATTACTACTTCACTGTATTCCTGGTCATTTATTTGAACACTAACCCCTTACCCCCATCAACCTTTTTTTTTTCATTTGAATTATTGTACACATGTAAGACCCTTTTTCAGGCATATGTACATGTATTTAATGAAATTTTCAGTCAAATATCTTGTTTCATGTATAAACCTGTCTGTAAGCCTCATTCACACCATCAAGATAAATGGTCCCCAACAGACAAAGAAATTACTGTTACAGGGGCTTCAAATTTTACTTAGGTCAGGAGTATTATAAAGTCTATAACATCAATTAAATAACTTTTTAAAAAAATTCTAAGAAAAGGTAAACACAAAGAAAAAATTCTAAATAAAAGGTATTAAAAATAAATCAAAACCAGCCCAGTGAAGAAGCAGAGCTGTGAACAGTTGATATAAAAAAAAAGATACAAAATCTAGAAAGATATCAAAAGCTGTACAAAAGACACGGGATAATACAGGATAACACAAGCAGCCTACAGATAAAAGGTCACTCACGAGATAGGAGTTGTTTAACTGTAAAAAGGAAGGCAAATATCAGATTTCATTACTCAAAGTACAGAAGGACTTTCTATTTTACAGATCTCAATTACCTGAGATATACAGGTGGTAGATTCTAGGTATTATAGATCTATAAGCCAAGGGATCTGTGGAGTTGGAATATTGTAGAGTACTGTACATTTCTATTATGTAACAGGACAGTACAGAAACAGCCAGAGATGCTGTTGGCATGCTTAAGGTGGCCTGACCCTTTTTTTTAGGAGAACATGGGTAACCTGCTTAAGGCAGTACGTCCCACTGCTTAAAAAACATTTGTGAACTTTAATAACATTTCTTCATTAAATTCATTGCACCTGATTTCATAAATAGAGTGAGTGTTCACTTGACAGAAATTTTTCTTTTTCACCAAATTTTCCTCTCATAAATAAACACTTCATTTTTTTTCCTCCGCAAAATTATATCAAAAGAATTCAACCTTGTATAATAATGTGGCATACATCAGTTAAACCATGGGGAATAAAATGCACATCAGGAAATACTGGGACATGTAATAGCATAATAGTGGGACATACTTATGCATATCCTAAAAAAAAGAACAAGTGAAGCAGATATCAATTTAAATAGTTGGGCTTACATCAGTCAAATAGTGGGTCATTTATCAGAAAAAAAAGTGGAGCCATACAAAGGTAAATGTGTATTTCCTATAATGGTTCATTGATAAACATCTAAAGATGAATAAGGACAATTTCAAAACTCTGAGAAACACCTAATGATAACACCACTTTCAAATTTTCTGCCCATTATATATTACCAATAACATAACCTAGAGTATATAGTGATCCATTGCCCATACACAAATTAATTATCAGAGTTTTCTAGCGAGAGTTGGCCATGACCTTTGTCACAACTTACATCTTTCCGCTGTGTCCAAGACTTCAGGTGCATGGCCAGAGACTTGGCCCCCATCAGTAGATATTCCGGGGGTCGCCTGCAATCTTCAATGTAATCTGTCAGAAAAGAGAAGGGATTCTGAAAATTTATTCTCAAAAGGATGACAAATTTCAATTTTTGTGGTCAAGATCTGCATGTCTGTTACAATCTATTGGAAACTAAACCAATTATTATTTACTTTCATTCACCATGCATCAGTTTGAAGACCATATGCAATTATTAATTAAAACAACTGAGGAAACATTCTACATATTAAACACATTATTAAATGGTTTATAACAACATGAATACAAGTTTGTTAACACTAGTTTTTATTATATAAATCACTGTTACCTTTGATGACATCCAGGACATGTTTGGCTGCGTACCAGTGGGTAGTCTCAAAACTAGGAAATAAATATTTGGATGGGGTCTTGATTCTCCTCTCTATGTCATAAACCCTGAGAAATAAAAAACACCCTGTGTACAAAACCTTCAGAAAAAAAAAACACAGCAAAATGAAAATTATCAGGGGTTAAACTGAAGAGATTGAAGAATACACTGAAAATATAAGCACCATATCTGATGAAAATGATGCTAAGAGACTCAAACTCAAAATAACAATCTTTTCAATAGTTTGGATTTTAATGGGTGGTTACTTAAGAAATAAGTTAACATTTTAAGAGCCATTCTCTGTAATGACTTGAACTTTTATATAGGAGCTGTGGCACGCATAGTCTCAGAATTTCTCCAAACTCTCTATGATAAAAGTCTTTGATACCGTAAACTCAAATCGGGCAAAAATTGGTTGCTACGTGTCATGGTTACCATAGCAACATGTCCTAAAGTTTGAAAAATGGCATTTTTCAACATCTTCAGAGTCCCACAGTTAACGTTTGCAGCAAAGCAAACAAGTGGCAATGACTGTTTCTGAAAGTTGAAGGCCTGATGTCTTAAATGCATGATAAACATGTTTGGTAAATCATCTATAACATACGTTACTATGAAAACAAAGTATTCAAAAGTAATAATTTTGTTCATTTAATTTTATAAAGTCATACACTTAAGAATAAAAACAATAATAATTATTATAGGTTGAAATGCAAGCAAATAATTGAGAAGAGATCCTTGTAACATATACCAAGGACAAAATATGATATTTCTTATAGGTTGGCAATGGTTGCCATGGTTTTAATACCACGAAGGGATTTTAAATTTACTCTCTTAGTGTTTTAATCTTATCCTATCTTTTTAAAAAACATATTTCTATATAACTGATGATCAATTTTTAAAGGCCTTGGTGTGACCTTAATTTTCACTTTTCAAAAAATTCAATTTCAACTCTTTAAATAGTGTGTTGCTATGGAAATAAGGCAAAAAAACATGCATAAAAATCTGAAAAATACTCTGTTTCCTTGGATACGTACCGTTGTATGTAGATTCCCAAAACTTTAATGATTGATATATGTGAACAACTAACCTAACTTTCAATTTTGACTATCCCCCAATCTCTAACTGGATGCAAAAAGCTGGCACATAGGGTCTAATATTGACAAAATATTAACAAAATCGAACATTTTCTCTTCTTGGTAACCATAGCAACAGTGTTGTATTTTTCAACAACCTTTATCAATATATGATATTCAACTTTAGTTCTACAAGATAAGTACTATTCAAGGTGATTCAAATAATATTTTTCTTGATAAAAAAGTTAGTAAATTCCTAAAGCAGCAAAAAAATATCACTTTAAACAACTAGTACGTTGTTTCCATGGTTACACTGCAAAGAAACAATTAATCTCAATTTTTCTTGTGTTGTCGGTGTTGCAAGGTCCTAAGGATGCATATGTGCCAGTCATGAATTTTATTGTTTTTCCTCACGATAGTAGCATTAACCCAATCATAGCAACAGATTTTGCATGGTGACACTGTGTTACCATGGCAACCATGAAAGTTATTTTTAGAATAATAATGCCAATACCTAATTACATGAGGTCAAATATTTGTCATTGTTTTTCTTACATTGTTGATTGAGTTTGATCATGTAACATCTATCATTTGTGACTATAGAGCATTTTTCAGCATCTAAAATGTATTCCAAATGTACCCATGGTTACCACTTACTTAGAGATAAATTCTAAATAGTTTCTTTATAGCATAAGTGGCAACAAGGTGTCATGTTTTTGGGAGAATGGTTTGTTTGTTTTTCTTAGTCTTTATTAAGGCTTAATAAAGATTTAAAGTAGCTGAAAATCTCAATTTTTTTCAACTTTTCTGGCTGTTACCATGGCAACCAAGACACATAGCAACGAAATTTTATTTGATATATGTTTCTGGTGTCAAGTTGTAATAATAGGCAAAGTTTCATCAAAATGCGTGGCAAAGAAGTTTAAGTGGTTACAGAGAATCGCTATTAAAACTTTTATCAGGATGTAAATATGGGTTTGTCATGTGATCAAATCCCATAAAGCCCAAAGGTCTTTATGGTAGATTTGATCACATGCTAATCAGTATTTACATTACCATAAAAGTGATACCTTATTACTTAAACATGTATTTACATTTGAGACTGATTTACAATATATTATGTACTTAAGTTTTAGACCCATAAAATGATTAAATTTTTCAAACCTCAACAGTATACATTGAATGTGTTGAACTCGTTTACCGTTCATAACATCACAGTGCATTTGCGTTACTAGTAATCGTTCATGAAACATGGAGATAATGAACAGTATTCAAGCTCAAAGTCCAATAAAAAAAAAATACAATTCAGGAGCAGAGCAAACAGGGACCTCAAAAAACATCTGAGGTGGGACTTCTATCTTCTTTTTACCTTTATATTCTTTTTCATAAAGTAAACGGTTCAACTATGACTGAATAATGAATTAAAGGACACAAGATGAACCTGCTTTTAAACAGAATTAAATACGCCTTGCATAGATAGTGTTACATAAGGGAAAACATATGCCTACGAGGGCTGTTCGAAAATTATTGAGACAATTACTTTTACTTCACAAAGGACAGAGATAAATTCATGAAAATTCGTAACATTTTATAAAAAACAAATAAAACAATTGTGCAAAATTTCTAATTTATAGGATTATAAAATAAGTCCCAGTGAAATTATAATTAAGCATATGTCTACTGACCTGGAGCAGCATCGCTACGTCATTTTAACGTCACGTCAGCCGATATTTTCTCATTGTGAAATGATCGGGAAGCATTCAATCTACTTTCTCAGTCATTTACATATAAAATTCCTAAATCTAAACTGTCTCTTATAATTCTTAAACGATTCTATAAAAAAAGTAAAATAAAATGTATGCCTTTGCTACCCAAGTGTAAAATATACACGAAGTGTCACATACAGGTTGACTTAGTATCATGCATTACTGAGTTACGCAACGGGGGTCAACTTATTTAGTCCGTAATAAAATTGATGGTCGTCCGGAGCTTTTGTTTTTACTCTGGTTGAATTATTTGTAAGAAAAAATATACCAATGAAAAAAACAAACCCTTAGACATAATTTATTGCATTGTTATTGTTTTAGCAGGTCGGTTAGTCTGGACAAGAGTTCTCAATACCGCTACACAAAAATTTAGGTATGCTCGCTGCTCCGCTTTGACGTCAAAATCCGTTTTGTCGTCGTTACCAGATTTCTACACCGCGCTCAATTTTTTTAATGATCTTCGTATTTCTGATCGAAATTCTAACAAACTAGCACAAAATGAAGTCAAAATTAAATTGAAAAATTATATACATGTTTTGATTTTTTTTCGCTTTTAATATGAGTCCACTGGGAGGTTTTACGTTCGTGTTGCATATTTTTAATATCTGATTTCGTGACTGCGCCAGGTACCCCTACCACTGACACATTAATATACCATTGAAAAGAAGAAATAAAATATTTTTGAAATATTTCTTGCTTTTATTAATTCTTAGTGTTTGTCAAACGTATATGCAAATTTTCCCCGAAAGACGTTCATTACAAAGAAGAATATACACAATGTCTCAATAATTTCCGAACAGCCCTCGTACATGTTCTACCAACCTGTTAACTTGTCCTGTCCTCTGTATATTTCATATACAAGTAAGAGACTCGGTAAACATTGGAAAAGTTAAAGATTTTAAAGAATTTATTTGGTGAATGGAAGCTTAATCAACTATCAAAATGTTGAAAGGTCTAAACTATCTGTGAAAATGTTCTTATGACTTAACATACATGTATAAAGCCTGCTAACTAAAACAAGTTTTAGTTTTCCATACAGTAATAAGAAATTCTTACTGAAGCTGTAGTGAAATGTTAAAATCATGGAGGAAATTCCCGCCAAACACGAGGGAGTCGATCGGCGTGAACACAGCGTGGATCCAACCAGTAGGGATAAAGAGGGTCTGCCCCTGCTTGATGACGCATTTATAACATACGTCAACCTGGTCTCCGAAAAATGTCTCACTCTGATTGGATGACGACACCCAAGACTCGTATAATGATAGATTGGCTTGTGTGGGTCGAACTAGGTAGAAAATTTTTTCACCCTGCAATAAATGAACTTATTTACATACACATCTAAAAAAATCATTCTAAGATAAGCCAGTGTGTGTTTTAATATCAACAACCTCCACAAGTATAGTCATATAATTTTCATAGGACTAATTTAAATCTATATATATACATGGAAGTTAACAATTCTGTGACAAGTACATGTACACTCCATAACAATTGATTATTTTGTGATCTACATGTTATTATAATTTTGTTCATGATTATAACTTTGTACAAGTTCTCTTTTGACTTTCACCTTAGAACTTTCACCACAGGCACATTTCCCTTTCTTACCCTCAGAATGTGATACCAGACCGACGTCCCCCCGAAGTCAATGTGGAAATCTGTGAAGCTGTCCCTGACCCCCATCAGACAGTACTTCTGGACTTCAGGCCGTGTGTACGTGCAGTCATCAGGCAGCTGCTCCGGGAAATAATTACTGACCCAACTCAAGTCGCGGACGATGGAGGGAGGGAAGACCAGCTCTGACATCCTGTAATAAAGATTGTTATAAAGGAAAAGTATCACAAAGGGGGTGTAGAACATTGATGGGGGAGGGGGTAACTGGAATGTAGAACATTGACAGGGAGAGTCATTGGAATGAAGTAACACAAGATTAATAGTTTTCAAGGAGGTGAACAATGAATATGTTGAGAAGTAAAGGTTTCTAGGGAACCAGTGGTGTCTGGATTAGACAAGTTTCACAGTAGGTTATAACATAATAATTAACTTACTTTGTATTGGAGAACTCCAGACTGATGACGTCGTACACTTTATGACTTACTTTGTATTGGAGAACTCCAGACTGATGACGTTGTACACTTTATGACTTACTTGGTATTGGAGAACTCCAGATTGATGACGTTGTACACTTTATGACTTACTTTGTATTGGAGAACTCCAGACTGATGACATTGAACACTTTATGACTTACTTTGTATTGGAGAACTCCAGACTGATGACGTTGTACACTTTGTGACTTACTTTGTATTGGAGAACTCCAGACTGATGACATTGAACACTTTATGACTTACTTGGTATTGGAGAACTCCTGACTGATGACGTTGTACACTTTGTGACTTACTTTGTATTGGAGAACTCCAGACTGATGACGTTGTACACTTTGTGTCTGTTTGGACTGTTATAATACTCCGTCCATTCCCTCATCAACATTTTATAATCCTCCTGCTTCGATACATCAATAACATCTATCTCTCTCATTGAGCCTAAAAACAAAGCATTGATACATCAATAACATCTATCTCTCTCATTGAGCCTAAAAACAAATCATTGATACATCTATAACATCTATCTCTCTCATTGAGCCTAAAAACAAATCATTGATACATCTATAACATCTATCTCTCTCATTGAGCCTAAAAACAAATCATTGATACATCTATAACATCTATCTCTCTCATTGAGCCTAAAAACAAATCATTGATACATCAATAACATCTATCTCTCTCATTGAGCCTAAAAACAAATCATTGATACATCTATAACATCTATCTCTCTCATTGAGCCTAAAAACAAAGCATTGATACATCTATAACATCTATCTCTCTCATTGAGCCTAAAAACAAATCATTGATACATCTATAACATCTATCTCTCTCATTGAGCCTAAAAACAAATCATTGATACATCTATAACATCTATCTCTCTCATTGAGCCTAAAAACAAATCATTGATACATCTATAACATCTATCTCTCTCATTGAGCCTAAAAACAAATCATTGATACATCTATAACATCTATCTCTCTCATTGAGCCTAAAAACAAAGCATTGATACATCTATAACATCTATCTCTCTCATTGAGCCTAAAAACAAATCATTGATACATCTATAACATCTATCTCTCTCATTGAGCCTAAAAACAAAGCATTGATACATCTATAACATCTATCTCTCTCATTGAGCCTAAAAACAAATCATTGATACATCTATAACATCTATCTCTCTCATTGAGCCTAAAAACAAAGCATTGATACATCTATAACATCTATCTCTCTCATTGAGCCTAAAAACAAATCATTGATACATCTATAACATCTATCTCTCTCATTGAGCCTAAAAACAAAGCATTGATACATCTATAACATCTATCTCTCTCATTGAGCCTAAAAACAAATCATTGATACATCTATAACATCTATCTCTCTCATTGAGCCTAAAAACAAAGCATTGATACATCAATAACATCTATCTCTCTCATTGAGCCTAAAAACAAAGCATTGATACATCAATAACATCTATCTCTCTCATTGAGCCTAAAAACAAAGCATTGATACATCAATAACATCTATCTCTCTCATTCAGCCTAAAAACAAATCACTGATACATCAATAACATCTATCTCTCTCATTCAGCCTAAAAACAAATCATTGATACATCAATAACATCTATCTCTCTCATTCAGCCTAAAAACAAATCATTGATACATCTATCTCTCTCATTGAGCCTAAAAACAAAGCATTGATACATCTATCTCTCTCATTGAGCCTAAAAACAAAGCATTGATACATCTATCTCTCTCATTGAGCCTAAAAACAAAGCATTGATACATCTATCTCTCTCATTGAGCCTAAAAACAAAGCATTGATACATCTATCTCTCTCATTGAGCCTAAAAACAAAGCATTGATACATCTATCTCTCTCACTGAGCCTAAAAACAAAGCATTGATACATCTATAACATCTATCTCTCTCATTGAGCCTAAAAACAAAGCATTGATACATCTATCTCTCTCATTGAGCCTAAAAACAAAGCATTGATACATCTATCTCTCTCACTGAGCCTAAAAACAAAGCATTGATACATCTATAACACCTATCTCTCTCATTGAGCCTAAAAAAACAAATCATTGATAAATTGGGAAAACCTGGTTCTTTACTGAAGCTGAACCAGTTTATGAATATAGGTGGCGTGAACTAATTAATACAGTCATACACAGAACTAGTTCATTTCACTTTCACTTGTTGGTGATTAAGTGTCATCGATTAAAATTTAAAAAAAAAAATATTTTGTTGTAGAAAATTGGGAAATTTACACTTTGCTTCTGGGAAAAAAGGGTACCTTTTTTGCATTGGAAAAGGGGCCGTTCAACGGCCCCAATTATTGAGAATCAAGAGCCCTGAAAGCATACGGTTTTTGTATCACTATACGCTACAATTCTTTTGTGTTTTGCATTATAGCTTTATACTGGTATATTGTTACACCCCTACTAAGTAACAATAGATTATCCAGTGATGTACAAACTGGAATATGTAATAATATTCTTTTATGATAATTTAAGACTACATACTTAAACAATATATAGTTTTTCAATTTTGACTTACCAACATTATTTTCCACATCCTGTATGGAAAACTGAGCAGGGGGAACAACCAGTCCTAAACCATCTTTCTTCTCTACGACGATTGGAACATTAAAACCGTGCTTCTTAAAGTATTCTATATTTAACTCACTTCCATGGAGCCGCGCTATAGGAATCTCATCAGCACTGAAATTGTTAAATAGAGGCTTTAAGAATTACATTAAGGAATTATCCCAAAAAAAATCATGTTTTTAATTTTCAAACATAGGAAATTTTGGTGGCATTCATAATAAGGTAATAATAAATAAAATCAATGAAATAAAAGATGCCATTTCAAAAAGGCCATTTTTGCATATATCTCATGATAAACTATTTTTTGCTGTATAATATTAAGGTGTTATGTGGCATAAGGCAGCTGAAGGGAAAGTTAAAGAGGGACAGAAGCATTTAATATACATGCAAACAATCTCCCATACTTAAAGACTGGTAGTGATATTGTCCAACCAATGTTTTTTTTTCCTGTTCCCTCCCCCAAAGGCTTAAGGATAGAAAAACACACAACTCATTGTGAATAAAAATCATACTCAATCTCAAAACATGGGGAGGTCCCATACAGTGATGATAGTTACGTATTTCTTGCAGCACAAAATAATTTATCAAAAAGATCTAACATTGAGGCTCAAAGATTTGATTCCTTTTCATCCTAAGAATATTTGCCTGTAAATCCATGAATTAAATACTTACCTAGGGAAAGTTCTGTTTTTTAATTCTTTTATAAAAACAACTGTTCCTGTCTGCACTGCCTACAACAAAGAAGACAAACTTAGAACTTTAGCATGGAAATGTTCTCTAACATCTAAGTAAAAAAAAAACTTGTAAATTGTATCCTTAGTTGCATCCTCAAGGTCAGTGTAATCATATTGTCTATGTTATTTTAATAACAAGTGTACTGGATTAACCAGTATTACTTTAGGTGGGACATTTTACCTTACAAGAATCCTCCAGCTCTGACTGTTCATGCCTATGTTATCATATTAACAAATTAATTAAATTAAGGTAGTATGGGATACCTCCACGTTATGACGTATTTCCGTTTGAAGTATTGTTTTGATTTGCATGACTGCTTATTATCGGGTCAAAATTTGTAGATACACCGTTGAAAAGAACACTCTGAAGCCTATTTCAATGCAAGTTCTCACAAGTCGGCATTTTAAGTAAAAACAGACAAAAAAATCGCAAGTATATAAATTTACTTATAATTGTACAACGGACATTTAAAAAAGCAAACCCCTGTAAAAGGTAGTTTCAACATTGCTGCTTTTGAACACTTTTAAGCAAAAGCTGTATTTCAATTGTTTGAGTAACTGTACAGCACCTTGTGTGCGGTGAGGCATGGATAAGTGCGATTACTTCACATTGTGCTGAATTATCACCAATCAATTATCACGTTAACCAGAGCTGGACTTTTTTGTTATTTAATTCAAGAAGTAACTGTTTGGTCACAAATCAGCTAGCTGTTGTATATAGTCCCAAAACGTTCAGATGAATGCAATTGTTCTGAACAAGACATGTCCTGGAAAGCGATTGTCCATGCATTGTTTTCAAAACCGCTCAAAGTTGAAAACTACAAAGTGCGATTTTTTTATGGTTGGGAAAAAATGCTCATCATTTCTAAAATAGCACCCAGGTTTTTTCAACCCTTGGAAAATAAAGAAGGATAACTCTTCCGCTCGGATCTTTTAATTCAAAAAATTTTAAATGCATTTTATATTTTCCATTTATATATATATTTTCAATTTGTTTATTTCACTTTGCTAACATATTAAGATACATTCTTATTGTAGACTTTCATGAAATGTTATCCGTCTGTTTTCAAGAAATAAAGTTTTCCCAGTTTTTACGCTTATTTTTTTGTTGAAAATTAAAAAAATACTAAGACATATTTCTTGTCATTTTTGTTTTTATAAACACTTTATATTAGCAAACGCCTGCCTATAATATTAAGCTTATGAAAAAAGAATTATGCAAGAAAAAAAATCGATTTTGTATTTCTCATTAAAATAATAAAAAAATTATTAAAATTACACTTTAATATACTGAAAGGTGGGGTTATTTCAAATCCTTCTAATTTGGGTACATAAATATGTAGGAGAAGTTTCGTTTGGTATCCCATACCACCTTAACAGACATTACTTTAGTGGGACATTTTACCTTACAAGAATCCTCCTGCTCTGACTAGTCATGTTTATCTTATCACATTAAAAATTTATTAGATTAACATAGTACTTTAGTGGGACTTTTTACCTTACAGGAATCCTCCTGCTCTGACTAGTCATGTTTATTTATCACATTAACAAATATATTAGATTAATGGATATTACTTTAGTGAGACTTTTTACCTTACAGGAATCCTCCTGCTCTGAGTAATCATGTCTGTGCCAGTTCCTTCTCTTCTTCACTGAAAAACATACAAAATCCCATTATAAGAAGTTTTTTAAAAAAAAAATGATTTCTTTCCATGCCTCACATACTCATTTAAAACCACAAAGGCTATTTTGCCAATACTGCAGTATGACTTTTTTAATAAACAACTATATCTGACTTTGGAATCCTCTACTAATCTATATTTCTTTAACATGACTAGTTGCCACTTCAGATTAATCCCTCCCCATACATCTGCAATCACAGAAAAGGATATTCTTTCATATGATAGATTTTGGAACATTAGTCAACCACGTAAAGTCAAACTTTGTTATCCCTAACTCAAAAGGACTAAGAAAAACCTTGGAGACAACAATGTCAAAATACATGAAAAAAGATAATTGCAGAGACTTCCAACTCACTTTGAATATCACTTTGTGTTCCAGATACCAAAGTTCAATTATATAATTTAACGGGTATTTGACATATGTTCAAATTCTGCTGAGGCTAAAAGAACAAATGCAAACTAAATGATCAAACCCACTGAATCAAAAAAAAAAAAATAGCAAAAGTTAAAAATCAATGTTTTGGGTAGCAAAGTGTTTGTTTTCACCTTGACATACCCCATGAAGTGGTGTTTTCACCTTGACTTACATCTTGATGTGGTTTGTGTTCACCTTGACATACATCTTGATGTGGTTTGTTTTCACCTTGACATACATCTTGATGCAGATAGTTTTCACCATGACATACGTCTTGATGTGGTTTGTTTTCACCTTGACATACATCTTGATGTGGATAGTTTTCACCTTGACATACATCTTGATGTGGTTTGTTTTCACCTTGACATACATCTTGATGTGGTTAGTTTTCACCATGACATACGTCTTGATGTGGTTTGTGTTCACCTTGACATACATCTTGATGTGGTTTGTTTTCACCTTGACATACATCTTGATGTGGATAGTTTTCACCTTGACATACATCTTGACGTGGTTAGTTTTCACCTTGACATACATCTTGATGTGGTTAGTTTTCACCTTGACATACATCTTGATGTGGTTTGCTTTCACCTTGACATACATCTTGATGTGGATAGTTTTCACCTTGACATACATCTTGATGTGTTTAGTTTTCACCTTGACATACATCTTGATGTGGTTTGTTTTCACCTTGACATACATTTTGGTTTGTTTCACCTTGAAACCCTGTGTCAGTTGACAGTTGAGATGACAGTGCTAGATCTGAGTATTTATATACTTACAAGCCCTTGTGTCATCTGATAATTACGGAGATATTAAACGAAAGGTCCTTGTGTCAGTAGACAATTTGGGAGATATTTATATACTTACACACTAAAGGTCCTTGTGTTAGTTGACAGTTAGGGAGATATTTATATACTTACACACTAAAGGTCCTTGTGACAGTTGACAGTTTGGGAGATATTTATATACTTACACACTAAAGGTCCTTGTGTCAGTTGACAGTTTGGGAGATATTTATATACATGTACTTACACACTAAAGGTCCTTGTGTCAGTTGACAGTTTCGGTGATATTTATATACTTACACACTAAAGGACCTTGTGTCAGTTGACAGTTTGGGAGATATTTATATACTTACACACTAAAGGTCCTTGTGTCAGTAGACAGGGAGATATTTATATACTTACACACTAAAGGTCCTTGTGTCAGTTGACAGTTAGGGAGATATTTATACTTACACACTAAAGGTCCTTGTGTTGGGAGATATTTATATACTTACACACTAAAGGTCCTTGTGTCAGTTGACAGTTTGGACAATGGTAGATCTCAATGTCAGATGCTTGGTACTCTTGTACGCCGACACAACTGAAAGAGAAATAAAAGTTGTATGATACATAAATAAGCACAGCCTTGGAGATTTTTCTACTCACAAGCATGGTTGTTTTTTTTTACTTGGATTTAAGGACAATCTGGTGTATTTTCTTTCTGATTTATAACCAGATTTTAAACATGCATGGCATGAATATGTATATAACAAAAAATCTTTACAATATGAAGATCTTGAAATAATTTTTAAAAGGAGGCCTTAACATCTTTAATTTTTTCCACATCACAATAACCAGTATGACTGGTAGAGGGCAGGGTTCCTGAGATATCCAAAAACCATGGTCCAAGATGTTTGGTTTGCTTTTGGTTCAGGTCTGGTTTGTATATATCTAAATCAGTTTTATACTAAATGGAAAGAATGACAACAATAACATTTATATATAAACATCACAACTAACATTTACTCTATCCATGACAAAACACTTTTCATGAAAAGATGGGATTATTATCGAAACAAGCAAGATTGGTCATGTTGTCACAAATGGTCGATCTGTGTAGTAGATCTAAACACAACTGATGGCATTAACAGTCAAGACTTGTTCATAATGGTGAATTTAAAGTTAGAAAGATTTTTCAAGTTGAATTACTGAAATTAAATTTATTATAGATGTAAAGAATTGACCCCAAAAACCTGAATTGAAAATATACTGAACCAGGCCAACCCCAAAAAATTAGGAACCATGAAAGCCCTAATGAAAAGTAAGGTTTTGATTGGTGAGATGAAGGAGAAATCTGACCACACTGACTAATAGCCAGTGGGAAATAACTCTTGATCAAGGGCTTAATATAACTCTTATATCCAGGTCTGGTAAAAAGATCCTGTCCCAATTGAAAATGGACTCCTTTTCCCCCAAAATTTATGTAAGAATTCCCAAATGACACAACCTCCCTCTGATTTCATAACTCCCTCAAAACATAAAAGGATTATAAAGCCAAATAACTTTGGAATCTGTATTTCGGACAACATAGTGATGACAAAACTAGTGAAAAACAACACCAAAAGCCTTGTCAATGAAGTGACAACAGCCAAAACAAAACAATACCAGCACTCGTTTTTTATAGACACTTTGATCAAATGGAACCACCTGGACAAACATACAGTGCGTGCAAAATCTGTCAAGGTCTATAAGAACGCTCTCGAGTCTTGACAAGCTCTGTCAATATGATCAACAGCACTTTTTCCCGTCATATAAAAACCAGTATTGCAGGGTTGTCCCTAATAATTGAAATAGCAGGAAGCATATAAAAAGTAGAAGGGGGTCGAGGGTTCCTCCCCTAACTGGGATCAAAGGGGAATACCAGAATAACCGGGGGATTATGTCATTATAGGTGGGGGAAATTAACCGGCCCCCAGGTCTTAGGGACAACCCTGAGTACTGGGTTCCATGACATATACAAATACAGATGATTCCTTATTTCTTACATAAATCTGCTCACTCTGCAATTGATCTATCAATATTTACATTTGTTATGTTTTTCTACTAAGTCAACTGTGAAATTGATTTGAATACCGTTTTCGTGTATACTCATGCCTAGAAATATGCACAGAGAAACTAGCGCTTAAGTGACACCACAATGAGCTACAGAGAAGTTAATAAAAAAGTAACGACATAGGGCAGAGAATAATTCAAACAGTGAGTATATTTTCGGTGCTTTTGAATATGTAAAATGTAAATATAAGGAATGTTTTTAAGTTTAGTGTGAATTATTGGTGTGTCACTCACACAGACTTGCAAGTAGACTTTTTTTTTTTTTTGAAGCGCTAGCACGCTTCATGAAATATGCCTACGTGACAAGTCTGTGTGATTTACACACCAATAACTCGCACAAAACTTAAAAACATTCCTTAATCTATCCGTTTATTCCAATAATATAAAAAGCGCTAAAGCGTTAAAGTGATTTTGCAAATCTAGACACAGAGATTTAACATTAAAGCTATCACCTCAACCAAACACATTTAACATAGGCTATTTTGCATGTAACAGGCTTACAAAGCACTCTTCCTGTAACTTTACTGCATTATTTAATAAACACGCGGAAAGTAACGAATTACGTATCTTATTGAAATGTAAACTATATACCCATTAGTTCTACAAACTAACGCTCAACAAGTTTAAAATCGTGACAAGTACTGAGTGATCCGGACTGTCAACAAATGTCAACAGAACTTGTCAAACTTTCCTGTCACGTTTTCCTGTCATTGGTGTAGATTTCCAGATCTCTTTGTGCATAATTAGTTGCTATAGCTTTACCTTCCGTGAAACCAGTCCTTACAAACATCACATTCAATCATGAACTCGTTTTCATCGTAAGGTTTTCGACATAAACAGTACACAGTCTCTTCTTCTGACGCCATGTTGAAAATTGCGGGACAAAGACATCCGCTTCCGCATGCGCAATTAAAGAGTACTTTTTGACTGAACAAAGGCGGGAATGTTTAAATGGAAGTTACATGTAAACTTAGAAAAAACAAAAGGACCGGGGAAATGAAGAGTTATTATAGAAAAAACAAAAGGACCGGGGAAATGAAGAGTTATTATGGATTTTATTATAACAATACTAATATAAAAATGACGGATAAGTATAAATATCTTGGCATATATTATTTCTTTTTTACAATCAAATGGCAGTGGCGTATATATTCCTTTCTCTTCAAGTGTAGGCTAATTTGAAGTCGAAGGCTTCGAATGAGCTTTTAGAGCTGCCCCCTCCCCCCCCCCCAGGAAGGAGGAGGACTCCCGAAAATGGCATGATTTTATATGAAATGGAAGCAAGAAAGTGGGTTTTTATGTTAAGTTTTTTTTTTCGTGTCTTAGTATCGCAAGAACAAAAAATAAACGGGGGTTTCATTTCATCGCAATTTTGAAATTTTCTGCACCCATCATTATCATTTGCATTGACTTCTTGTCCCTTAACGTATATAAAATACTATTTTCAGAAAATAAAAACATTTAAAAAGGATTGTGTTTCTGATGCCCCTCCATAGTTTCTCATATCAAAATTCGACAAAAGTGCAAACTTTACATTTGTAGACTTATGAAATTATTTTTGTGTTTCATTCAGAGCGCGGAAATGCTGATTCCGGAAAACAAAGTTTACAACATCAAAAATACACACATTCATAGTATAAACTCAAAGTCAACACGGTTGTATTTTCAAAACTACATGCTTGGATGTCGGAATATTAGGCCTACCTACTTACATATGTAACCCGTTGATACGATTGCATTGCAGTAAGTTTGGATTTACAAACTTAATTACATATCTGGATTTTGAACACGATTACCCTCCATATTTTTTAACCTATTACGAGTATGCTAACTCCGAAAAAAAATATGCTGGTCATCTTGAAAATGGTGTTAATTAATACATGTATTAGGCACTGTTAGGTCAGAATGGCGATTCAAAATGGCGAACTCGTGAATTCCTCAAAATACTCATATTGATTAATTCTGAGTCGTTTTTTTGCAGAAAACAAAAGAAAATAAACTGCTGTTTACGTTTTTAATTAATAAAATAATGATTAAATATTCAATTTATCTTTTTAAGACATTGTTGTTAACGACGTATGGCCAAGTTAATGACAAGGATATCTTTGAAAATACGTGTATTTTCTTTGTGACAAGACCTTCCAAACAATATTGATCTGTTTACCTTGACCTTGGTAGTTTGACTTGCATTAGGGAAACTTAATTTAACCTTCGCCATGAGCTGCCAAACGGGGCATCAGTGTTTCACAAAGACATCTTGTTTATTTCATATAACAGGCCCGTAGGAAGCAATTTCAGTTGGGGGAGGGGAATATGAAAGCCCTAGCACCAACCGTTCAAAAGTTTTGGCCGAAGTTTAAGTTTTACAAAAGTAGTCAGACTCAGTGGTCAAGGTCAAAGGGTTAAAATTTTTGGTACCCAAGGGAAGGTCTTAATAATATCAGAAGGAATACACAAGTGAAGTATGAAAACCCTAGGGCCAACCATTCAAAAGTTATGGCCAAGCCGGGTATACGTGTTAAAGTGTGGTAAAATTTTGCAAAAGTGGGTCAAACTCCGAGGTCAAGAGGTCAAATATGTTGGTACCCAAAGAAAGGTCTTGTTAAAAGGAATACATATGTGAAATATGAAAGCCATATAGCTCCAACCTATCAAAAGTTATGACCAAGGTTAAAGTTTTTGCGGACAAACAGACAGACGGACGACAGGGCAGAAACTATATACCCAAGATTCTTCGATTAGTAGGGGCATAAAAATATGAATTGATCATATTTTCATCACGAAATGTCAACAATCATGCAATTTAAGTTTAATATTTCCCCAGGCCAAATCAAGTTTATTTTCCCTACTCGTTGTCTGACCAGTTCATTTTTATAAATTCCTGACATAAATGTGATTTCAAGTTCAAAAGGAACCGTCTTATCAATTTTTAAACTTAACAAATATGAATTTTTTTTTTTTAATTTGAAAGTGCAACTTGAACACCTTCACGAATAGTATGAGGAAGAACTTTAATTTTTCTATATCAATGTAATGAATAAAATTATCTTGAATAATTTTGCCCGACTGAATTTTTTCCCCCTGAAACTTAAATATCTTTTTATAGGTGTTTTTTCCCCGCTAAAGAAGAAGGTATGGTTTTAGCTTTATTTTGCCCATAAAATTTAATGTTTTCAAAAAGTTTTGAAACTGGCTTAAATATTAGTTGAGTATATGACTGTAATAAATCAGGAAAGAATATAGCATGATGGAGTACCATTCTGGATATATGATGTCATTAATTTGATGCATTTCTCTATTTTAAACAGAAAAAGCCTCAAAATGACCCATTTCAAGGGTTATTTTCCTTAAGAAAATAGTGTCCACAGCCGTCGCCCACATTAATTTTTAGATATATTGTGTAAAATTCTTTGAAAAATCACATATCTCAAAATCTTTGTGGGCGATACCTGTGGACAATATTATCTGAAAGAAAATTCCATTGAAAATTGATGTCTTCTGCAACTTTTCAAGAAAATACGGGAAAATGCACAAGTTTTTGACGTCACAATTAGCATTTGAAAGGTCATGTGAGAAAAAAAAATATGTGTATGATCTTTCTGCATGGAATTTCAATAATTCAAAAAGCATGAGTTTTAATTTTTTACATCACTTTTATTTTTAAGAAAAACACAGGGCAAGATTTGTACCTTGTTCTTTCCTTCAAAAAACCCAATCCGTGTGTTATTTATTTATTTGCCAGTAAATTTAGTGAAAATACGTATGTACTTATAAGTTTTTATGTATCAATTTATTCATTTTTGAATTTGATTTCATTTAATTTAATTAAATTTTATTAAATTGAATTAAATCAAATTTAATTTAATCAAAAATCACATTAAATTAAATCAAATTTTAATTTATTTAATTTTATGTTGTTTTTTTTTTTTTTTGTTTTTTTTTTTTGTTTTTTTTAATTTCTGTTTTATTTTATTTGTTGTGTTTTTCACTGTATTTGACTTTATTTGCTCATCATAATGATTTTAAGAGTCTCTAGAGGCGGGTGTCGGAAGTTTCCGGTTGGATTGTTTATAGAGGTCGCTTCAAACTCACGTGAGAGTATTACGAATCCTCAAAAACAATATGGCGACTGTCAAGTTGTGGTCCATCCTGAAAGTCTTCCTTGCACAATGTTTAGCTTTCACAACTCTCTCCATGCATGTTCATGAGTTTGAAATGAAACAGCAGGATTTTACAAACCTCCTTGAGCCACAGATTGCCATCAGAAGCAGACGAGACCTAGCAGATCAGAGATGCCAGTCACAGGAGAAGAACTTCTTGAAGGATGTCAACTCGGGAAATGTGAAACTCGAGCAGAAGGTTTGTTTATGACGTTTTTGTTCATCGTCATGTATTTATGATTTGATATAGAATTCCAGTTTGTGTGTTTTAAGGGGGTATCTCTTTGCAATTTAAAGTGTTTCTTTAACAGTGCCTCGTAATTTAGTAAGGCCAGTGAAAGTAGAGGAAGTTCGCATGGTCTTTTGTAATCATATTTATGGAAATGTTATAGCTTAAATAGAATCATGAACACAAACAAACAGGCAGTGTGTTGGTAAAGCATTTTTATATTGGATTCCGAAACGTCATAAAAATCCTTACAAACAAAGATACATACACTGATGTTCTACCAAGCCCCTATCTTAATTTACTCCTCACAAAACATATATAAATGCAGTGAAGGAGAAACTTCAGGAATGCTGTACAACACATATTTAAGAAGTGATGTAATTCAGATGTGGATACTTAAGAATTCCAAGGAACTTTTATAAAATTAAATTTGAAATTGCAAAATTTTACCAAAATCAATAGCATCAAAACGTACCACTTTTCAACTTATGCAACCATTCCCAAGGATAAATTAAAGTCAGACTTTTTGACATCATATACAACTGCTTCTTTGATAAAAATGAAACTCATAAATTTGCAAACCTTGTCACTGGTCATCTGCAAACTTATTCCATTAATTAAAAAACATTCTGATTCTACACAGAAGTACTCAAGGATTGCCTGTCCATCATTCTGAAAAATTATTCAACACTTTTACATGGCTTTTCCCCCAATAATAACATTTATATACACATGTTTTATACTGTCTGGTAATATACAAATGTGTAGAGAAATGTCTTGAAAAGTTTATTATATTTAGATATAATATAATAATTAAGTTTTTAACATAAAAACAAGCATTCTGAGAGTATTGCATTAGCAATACTAGTCCCCTACCGGCAAGTGTAATCTGGTTCCCGTTAAGAATTGAAAATGCCATAATTCCGTCAAAAATTAATGGAGCGGGACGAAATGCAAACTTGATCTGTAACTTATCAAGATACACTCACATACCAAAAATCAGCTCAAAATCTGCAAGCGTTTAGAAGAAAATTGCGGAAAACCCGTAAAAATTTAAAAGGCCGTAATTCCGTCAAAAATCAATGAAGCAGAACGAAATGCAAACTTTATCTGTAACTCATCAAGATACACTCACATACCAAAAATCAGCTCAATATCTGCAAGCGTTTAGGAAAGAAGTGCGGAAAACCAAGTGGGACAGACTGACAGACAGACAGAGGGACAGACTCAGAGGAAACCTATAGTCCCCTCCGGTTTCACCGGTAGGGGACTAATAAAACAAGTGAGATATCTTCTACCTTGAATTCGCAAACCACCTTCTGGTGTATTGTCGCAAATGACTATTTACACAAGCCCATGGGAAACAACTCTCTATTGATCTATTTACAGTTCATAAAAACCTTTCTGGCGCTATACAAACATGTTCACAAACACCTCTCAGGGATTTATCAGTACCTTCTCAGGGGCCGAAATTCGGCCCCATTCCCAATTGAAAATGAGTTCATTTTTTCCCAATTTGGCAGTATTTTTTCCCTATTGGTGAACAATGCTTTTATATTTAATTATCTTGGAAAAACACTAAGTAAAATTGTCAGAATGTCTGTAATTTTCATCTATTTAACTCGTTTTGCAAATCTACAGTCAAAACACGTGTTTAAAAACACTGTAAAAACATTGCCAACTTTTAATCCGAATTTCCTCCGTTTTTTCTGAAAATGGTGATATTGTGTTATTATATAGATTTATTAAGTTATTTCTACCTACTCAATTGATCTATGAGTGAATGGTAAGGACTGTAGGCATTATTTCAAATAGAAAAATATATTTTCAATGCATAATAATACATATTAAAAGAGGACTTTGAGAAAATGTGTACTTCTTATAATATTTTACAGGAGGTTTATAATCAGATTCTATAATGACCTAAATTGGAATCTCATACACACATGTACTACCCTAAGTTGTATAAACACTTTATACTCTTTGAATTCAATTTTACTTTTATTAGCCTATTATTCATAATTGATCTTGTATGATGTTGGATCATGATTGAATTGTCTGTTTGGTTGCCCAAATTAGAGTTCATTCTGAAATGTTAAATGAATTACACCTGAATACATGATTTAAGCAACATTTTTAATTTTTCCAATTTCATCAAAAAGCTGATAATTTTTTCCCAATTCCCCAAAAATGGCGTTTCCCAAAATAGGCTGATAAATCCCTGCCTCTCCAGGAAAACCCTTACCTCTACAAATGTGTCCCCCCCCCCTTAATTTTTTTATTTTTATTTATATATCAATTGATTTGACTGACCCTTGAATTGGTATCAAGGTCAGTGTTTTTCAAATTTCTGTGTCTGTTTTATGATCATCGGGTCAGAATAAAAAAAAATCCTAGATTTTCCTCCCTGACTACCCCAATTCTGCTGTTACAAACAAAAGTTATATTAATTATGACCAGGATCGGTTTTCAGCTGATTATATTCAACTTTTGTTGTAGATTCTGCAGTTATGTCAGTGCAGTTTTGACAGTTGATATTATTGTGTTTTTTATAGTATGTATTAAACAAGGACAACTGGTTGTTAAAGATTGGTGCAGATGCATCAGTAAGAGATTTGTAAATTGAAAGGAAGTTTACAAATCTGACTTTAATCTGTAGTTCTGAATGATGATTGAGGTCCACAAAAAAATATCTGTACATAAGGCCAGCATTTTGTTTATTTTTAGGTTTATGAACACCAGAATGAAAAAGTTCTGTAGGAGGAGGAAATAAAAAAAAATATTTTTTTGGATAAATTATTGACTTTTATACATTCATTTTTGCTTCTTTTTTTGATGCTCTTCTAAAAGACTCCTTGCCACTGGCCATACAATGGTTACAAAAAGGAAGGTAGAAACTTAAATTGTTTAATTCATTGTCTGGCGGTTAGGGACAGTGATATAAATTTTGAGATGTTGGTCAAAATACAAATTTAAAAAAAAAAAAATTTTTTAACTCTTTCAATATATATTCATTTTTTTAAAATATGTGTTAAGTGATTGTGTAGAAATTGTTCTGAAAATATACTCGAGACCTTAAGTAAAAATTCCTATCATATAACAGACAAGGAGTATTGGGGAGGGGGGTTAAATTTTTCAATAAAGTGTAAAATAATTTTTCTGGCTGCCACATTCAAAAATGATACTACATGCCTGTATATATTTGTATATACTTGTTTTCTTTAATAGTTGAAATATTTCATTTTTTTTAGACTATATCTTATTTCACCCTAAAATGGACTTCACTTCTCCCATAGTTTTATTCATTACATCTGATGCATAAGTGATCCTTTTCTGAAGAATGTTGCTTAGATTGTAAGCTATAGCAAAGACCTAAACAATGTCTATGGCTATAGCTACCTTGGGCAGTTTTTAACCTGTGGAAGGAAATTAATTTACGATTTACATGCAAATACTTTTGAATACTGATATATAATTATCTCACCAACATGTCATTGTGCAACAAAGTCGGCAGCATTTTATTTGTCCTCTGAACGGATGAAACGTTTTGAAGGGCACTCCTATCGATAATTTTTACACTAAACCATTAAGCTATGATGCTGCTATAGACTCTGCAGATCTACTCGATTTACCCGCCATGTTAAAACCAAAAGTATAAGTTCGTAAATTGAAATCTTGATCCCTACTCATATTTGACATTTGAAAGAAAAAAATCCCATTTTTCTCAATTTTAATTTTTTTCTGAAAATTCAGAAACTTGAGCGGCGGGTTTGTAAACCAGCTAAAAATAAAATTTGCTGGCCCAATGAAGAAAATAAAAAAATATATAATAAAAACTGCCCGCCCTCCACAATTTAACATTTTGGGTGAAAATCTAGGAATTTAGTTTATTTTGGCCTGACATGATGAAGATTTTAATTGTTTAGTCCTAATACAGAATTTCAAATTATAGCAGAAATATAACTACATTAAAATCAATGTCTGGAAATGAAACTCAGAAGAAGCTGTTAATATAGTCTTAGTGTTTTCTAACTACACAAACAAAGATTAATTATCCTTGATAATTCAGATTAAAATTTAATTCACAAGGACTGTCAGTGTTTGATGATTCTTTCAACCTTGTGTAGACAAACTCTCTAGTTTTCTCTGTTTTTACACAATAGAGAGTTCTTACTATACACACTGCATTTTATTACTGTGGCTGCACTTCCCATCTAATGATGATTTAATTAATGTCTAAAAATTTGGTATTTTTTTTTTTTAAAAAACAATTGAAGGACTTTAACAGTTCTTTTTGACAGCAAAATGAAGTTTATATAGATAGCTTTAATGAATTACATTGTAGTTAAATAAATTTATTTCTGATTGTCTTGTGATCTTCTTGCAGACTTTGTTATGATTATCATGTGACAGCAAAGATTTTATATTACATTTGATGAGAAATTGAATTGACACTGTGTTCACTGAGGTATACAGAGATGTGACATTATAAAGCCGCATTGATTTCTCAGACCTTGGAGTTGTGTATAGCAACAGGTGCCCTGAGTTGATTTACTGATATAGTGTCCTAGAGAGAGAAAATATACTTATTATTTTATATCAAATGTTCAAAATTTTATGTGCCTTTTACTATATCATTAATATTACCTTTAGAAGTTGTTTTCTGTGTAAATCTATCCATTTTACTTATTAAAGTCTAACATTTCCAATGTTTTAACTAAAGTTATCCAGAACTTAACGTTGGACCAATCAGAAAAATGTTGGACCTGCAGTATGACACTTTAGTTAAGGCAGTTCATTTGATGCAAGTCAGCAAGCTATATATAATTTTTGCATTGGTTGAACTATAAGCTCAGAGGATAAAAGGATTAAATTAAAGTCAGATTTTTTTTACATTCATCGGAAGAAACAAATAAGCCCTATATTTCACCTTAAATAAATCAAATTATTTTAGATTAAGTATAGCCATTAGTTAAGAGTTGGTGTTTTTAATAAGGCAGCAGCTGTGTGATTGTCCTACAGAGTAAACACTACAGCCAGGACAGACGCCACATGTAGATAAATCAATTCAGCATTGAGTAAGTCGTAACACAAAATATATTCAAAATGATCAACCACATACTGACTACATTAAATATTTCTCCCTAACACTCCAGTTTGGAGAAAGCTGATTGCAATCCATGACTGCTTGTCACCTTCAGAATAATTAAGATATCAATTCAAATTGTCATCAAGCGAATGGGTTATCTACATGTAAATCTTAGGGCTACAGATATACTCTACTTCAGTGGAAAACCTAGCATGACGGGTATTATAGGGTAGTTTCCCAATTTTATTTACATCTCCTGTTCTCACAGTGTCAGTATTAGTTTATAGGGTCCAGACAGGATTTGACTTAATTTCAATGATCAGAAATGATGATTTCTTACTGGATAATTTATAGGGTTCTTTGATAACCGTTAGTCAATTTAATACTGTTTTGAATCATGGCCTATTAAGAGCCCTCTATACACTGCACACTAGAGAGTTCTGAATTTGTGGTATTTTTATGCAGATAGAGTGACCTGCCCTTTGATCAAGTATAATATAAATTGAAATGTACCGTTTATTACTCAATTTGTGATCAAATCAAGCATTCATAACACTTTAATAGGCCAAGATGAATAGATAGAACACTTCATTTGCAGGTATTTTGCCCACTTAAGTAAACAACAGTGATTTATGTTCATCAGTACTTCATTGTCTTTGAACATTTTTCCTGGGGGTAAATGCAAGGCACCCTATGTTGAAAATGTGATAGATAAGCTCAATACTTACACCTTCACACACCATAATTTTCTCAATGTCCAAAAAATATTTTCCTCTAGTGTATAGAGGGTCCTTAAGTTTATACTTTGTGTTTGCTAATTGTTGATACACATTTCCATGAAATAATTACTTAAATCAACTTTTATTTGCAACACATTCTATTTGCAATTTGTCAGTTTGAAATCTATTTGTATGTCTTATTTTGGAAACTGAGGAATTATTCTACATATTAAGTACACAAGGAAATAAATAGTTTGTGATGAGAAATATTTTGCAAGTGAAAGAAGGTTGTGAACCTTGTGGATATTTCTCACACTAGTTGGTTTTAATGTTACTGAGTGTATATTTTGTTTAAAATTTTCAAAGGCTTGGCTTGCAGAAATAAATTAATAGAATGCAACTATTAAGCTGAGATGTAATTAATTGTAATTGCTTTCAATTTCAAGAACAGTATGGCCATAATGACTCAGAAGAGCGTTGTGGGCCATGGACCTCTTGTTATGGTATCAAGCAAAGCTCAAAAGTCATATATTCAGATTGTCCAACCAAAAGTTCAGATGCTTTATTTTATCTTTGCAGCATGCTTTTCAAAATGAGTCATACTACAGCATGGCTCTGGCCTGGTGCGGAAATAATGGGGTAAGCTTCAAAAGTTAAATTACTTGTACCCTGTATGAAATGTTATTAATGATGACCTAATTAGATTTTCTCATCAGATTTTCTCACACAGAGCCTTTCTTGACTACGATAAGAAAAAATGATTTCTGTTTCCAACATTTTACATTGAATCCTAAAATTTCGGATTAAAACTGTTCTCTAAAATATTTTTTGATATTGTTCAAGTCAATCAATCATATACCTTTAACTCCAAATTAATGTAAAGAAGAAAATATTTGCAAAAATGTACTTTGGTCCTAGACATAATTTTTTGTAAAATGGGGTCTGGGATGTCATTGAGATGATTCAACTACAGTAACTGTATACCTCTTACAACTATAGAGTTTTCAACTCATTTTTTTTTCAAAATTGAACTTTTTTCCACAGAATCACAATTTCTGTTCAATCCATGGGTAGAAAATTTTGCTTACTTTTTAGCTTGAGTATCATGATCAGCATAATACTACTGTTGTATCTCTGTACATACAAGCACCTCTAATGTTATAAACCCTCTGTTTTCTCCTCCATATAGGGACCTGTTATAGTTGTAATTACACAGGAGAACTTTGTACATACAGTACCGACCGGACACAACCTAACACCAGAGCGAACCCAAAGCACACCCTGAGTTCGCTTCCTGGGTTTGCTCGGGGTCCGCTGCGGATCCGCTTTCAGAAAATTTGGGACCGATCTGGGTGCACATCGGGTTCGCTCGGGGTCAGCTCTGGGTCTGCTAGAGCGAACCCGGCGTTCGCTTTCCGTTTTTGCTTTACGCACTCATGCGTGAAGCGGACCCCACTTTAATCTTGCCGCCAGTAAGCCCTGCCCCTTGTATATTCCAAAAACAGTAGTGAAATCGATCATTACTGTTTTTATGGCGATCGAAACATGAACATGTAAGTGACAATATGGAGAACGTTGATAAACTTTCAAGAATATCACCGTACAATCGACGTAGAATTATCACTTTTATTTTTCTTAACTTACAAGCTAAGTGTATCTCGAAAGAAAAAGAAGAAAAGGTGTTAAATTTATTTTCGATGTATCGGATGGAGTGAAATTGATAAGAGTATTTTAATAAAAAAAGCTTTCAAATTCATTTATTCATGCAACGTACCAAAGAACTACATGTATGACGTTTCCAAATTCAAAAATCAAAAAAAAAAAAAAATAAATAAATAAAAAAATTATATTTGAATTTCTCATTGATAACGTGCCCAGACGAGGGACATGTAACTTAAGGGGCATCGAATGTAGGGGGGGTATATACTCAGGTATACCGTGACCATGGAGACAGTATACATCCAGCTAGCAAGTGTCAATTAAAAAAACCCCACTGCAAGTGCTCTTAGCACCTGCAATATCTTCGAAATAGGTGGATGATTACCGACACGTGATGACCTTGGCTTCACTTTGAACGTACATGTACGTTTTCGTATTAAGGTATCTTTGCAAGTTCAGTTTACTAATGTTGGAATTACGTGTACTTTTCATGCACAAGTACAAAGCGTACCCGTCTAGTATTTTTTTTAATATCCATATAAAGTATTTCGAAAATTACATGTAGTACATGTAAGAGGTTCGTGAACATGTAAACCTGTAAATATACATATATATACACTAGACAAAATTGCTAACGCACCACTTATTATTCTTATTTGTGAATTGGTCATTTTTCTGATTGGTACTAGTATATAAAATATGCCATCTTCTCCAAAACAGTTGGATTGACAAATGTCTTGGTGTCATGTCAAGACCTTTAAAGGACCTTCTTGTCCGAAATCCAATGTCCCGACGTGCACTGCGCATCGTTTTTGCCAAGATATGAAGTTGGTGATTACCGAAGGTGGTCCGTGAGGTTGCGACGGGAGCAGTCTCCTACTTAAAAATCAAATGCTATACCCTGATTGACTACCATATTGCTTAATAGTCACCCAGTGCCTTGGTGTCCCTACCAAATCCACCCAACTTCCGGTTGCCCCAATTTTGTGGAACAATCTTGAAGTTATTGTGTGGTGCTGACTTAATGCCGTTGATATCTATTGAAAACATTTTTATGATCGTTAATTCATTTTCAACAATTTTTCACCAGAGAAATGCATAATCTTTGAATTGTTTTAATTTTTCACAAATTTCTTCAAAGGAACCCCCTGTAGATACCATACTGGCTGCCTTAGCGGTCTCTTCTAGAGTCAAACGCTGCATACGGTGTAACTTTTTTCTGAGTTTTTAATTAGTACAAACATAAAGAACACAACCACAAAGAAAAAAATTAGAAATTTATTCCACCAAAAAAGTATGGATATGATTTTAATTTTTTCTATGAAGTGGTTACGCTTCAGTAAACATTGCTGTTACATGTATATATCAGTTAAAATATTTAAATGTCTCATTTTTTATCAAAGAAACTAAATTATATATTAAAAACATCATAAACAAGTTTTAAAAAGAAAAATGTTAATTTATTTAGGTGGTGCGTTAGCAATTTTGTCTAGTGTATATTGATGCGAAGGAAAGTGATAAGCATTTTTGCGTTTTTATTTTTTATTTTCATTTTTATTTTTTTATTTATTTATTTATTTATTTTTTGACTGACTTGCAAGTAGTTACAAGAATTCAAAAACATACACAATGTAGGGTCTACATGTAGGATAATTAGAATTGACAAAATAATCTTTCCCTATATACATGTACTTAAATCAAGCTATTTATTAAATTTTGGTAAAAGATTAATTTAAAAAAATCATATTAGTATAGTTAAAAAAATGAGATTTTTTTCCCAATTTACATATTGACATAATGTACATTTATACTGTACAATGTACATTTAATTTTTTTGGATGATCTATTATTAAGATCGATAATTTCGATGTTGATCTAGATAAATTAAAACATGCATGTAAATTGAAATAATAAATAAAAAATAATTAGATTAAAGCACGTACATGTTCTTATACTGTATCTTGAGATAACAAAATTCTATAATTTATCGAAGACCAGTTTTTTTTTTTTTTTAGTAACAATTGTTATAACCATTATTATCTTCTTTTTTTCTATTATGAATTAAAGTACTTATTGTCTGATAAATTTACGCAATATATATTTATATATTAATGGATTTTAAAAATATAAAGAAAATAAATATGTAACTATACATGTAACATACTACCTGGATAATAAAAATATAATGTATTAAACAAGGTATTATTTCAACTTGGAATAATTACTTGACATGGATTTCAATTAAATTTTGATTTTTGCTGTAGTTGCAATGTTAGTGATAATTTTAAAAAAAAAAAAAAATTTTTTGTTGTTGTAGAAACTGTAAAAATGGTAATATTTTCATCTTCATCAAGAAAAGTTATGTTTCTATGCATGTTTTCATGTTATTTATGGTGTTTGTTTGTTTATTTCATTGTTAATTATTTATTTGTTTATGTTTTTGATTGGGAAAGGCCTTCTATGTTCTAGTTTGGTGTCACACATGCGCAGAAGGGTTAGTCCATGCCAGGCATGTGCATGTGTCAATGCTGATGACAGCGATAAATGGATTTCTTCAACTCCCTAGGAAATTTTAGCGATGGCGATGCAATCGTAGCTGAGTTCAGAGTGAAATACTTGAACAATTACGTAGTGATGCCGTTTGACTGCAGAAATATACGGAATATATAGAAAGCCAAACATTGACATATGCGCAGAAGGGTTAGTCCATGCCTGGCATGGACTAACCCTTCTGCGCATGTGTGACACCAAACTAGAACATAGAAGGCCTTTCCCAATCAAAAACATAAACAAATAAATAATTAACAATGAAATAAACAAACAAACACCATAAATAACATGAAAACATGCATAGAAACATAACTTTTCTTGATGAAGATGAAAATATTACCATTTTTACAGTTCCTACAACAACAACAAAAATATTTTTTTGAAAAAATTATCACTAACATTGCAACTACAGCAAAAATCAAAATTTAATTGAAATCCATGTCAAGTAATTATTCCAAGTTGAAATAATACCTTGTTATTAATAGATTTTAAAAATAAAAAATAATGAAAATAGATGTGTAAATATTGCATGTTGTCTGGAGAATTAAAATATATAAATATAAAATCATGTTTAAAAATCATATTAATAATATTTTTACATTGTACATTCACACACTTTGCTTGTACAGTGTTTAGATTACAAACTGGCATGTTGACTGGTCGATGCGCTGATGGTCAACGCATTTTATCACTTATCCTGATTGACAGACCTGTTCGGCATATTGATTGGTCGACGTGCTGATGAGTTAATCGCTAATCCTGATTGACAGCTCTGTTACGCAACACCGAACAAGTGTTCGCTTTCTGGGACCGCTACTGAATTTGGGGTTCGCTTCAGCGTCCGCTCTGGGTTCACTGCGGGTTCGCTACAGCTGCGCTCCGGGTTCGCTCGGGGTCAGCACTAGCAGACCCCAAGAGAACCCGAAGCAAACCCAGAGAGCGAACCCAGGGTGCGCTCTGGGTTCGCTTTCTGTTAGGGTGTGTCTGGTCGGTACTGTACTAGTACATGTAATGTTATAAACCCTCTGTTTTCTCTGTAGGATCTGATAGTTGTGATTACACAGGAGAACTTTATACATACTAGTACATGTAATGTTATAAACCCTCTGTTTTCTCTGTAGGATCTGATAGTTGTGATTACACAGGAGAGCTTTGGGACTGTGATGCCATCTAAAGTTTACAAAAGGTATGACATTTCTGTCTTCTTTAAGGTCACTTACCCGAACAGTACTCGTGGAACGGCAGGGAAGATGTTTAATATCTATGAACAGGAAACTTTGTCATTTGTTCATTGTATATATACATGATCAACATGACTTCATTTTGAGTGATGTCTCGCAGTTTTCATTGATGAGTAAAAATGATAAATTATAGATGTAATCTTTGATTAACAAAGAAATGAACATCCAGGTGTGAAATGTATAAAATACTTTTTTTTTTCCCAATCCGTTTTTACATAATTATTGCAAATTCTTTTTCAGTCTTTTACCAGAGTCTGAAATGTATTTTCATAATATTGGTAATTAAGACAAAAAATTACCCAGAAGTTTTCTGTATTTTTCAGCACAGACTTTGGAGCTCATTTTACGCCAGTGAAACTAAACAAACAACCAAAAATTTACAAACATAATGGTGTCCATAGAAACCCTCACAATACAAAGAAGGTAGGAGGATAGAGGTTACCTCCCTTATTCATAATGCAGGGAAGGGAGACAATTTTGTACAGATCATCTTACAGCACAAATATAGAGGTCTAGAGATAAGTGTTTTGTAGAGTTACATCCCTGGTTGACAAAATTAAAAAAAAAAGGTTTATTGATTGTCTAATCCAAAGATGCACATAGCACAAACAGTCAGGGGTGATACTGAAATCCGTCATTTTTAAAATGACGATTTTAAGTCGTAAAATAAAATTTTTATTATGACTTAAACTCGTCATTTTTAAGAAAATGACGAAAAACAGTCATAAAAATTTAGAGTGTTTCTAGAATACCGAGTTACCTCTCTTTGAAAAATGTTAGATCCACCAACTGAAAAAAGGACAAAAAACATCGTAAACAAACTTCATTTCTCTAATACAGTTGACTACAATACTGGTTATGTTGACAGTATAAATTTCCCAAGCAAAAATAAGAGTGGAAGAGTTTTTTGTCAATTTATTTGTATTAAATAGGAAAGAAGACGAAAATGACGATATTCCGTCTTTTTTCAAAATGGAGGGTCTGGGTGCACTGAAATACCTCGCTTGTTTTACGGGGCGCACTACTTTTTTATGGCTTTAACTTTTTGTCGAGACTTTTCTCTACAAGTACGTATTCTTCCAGACGGTGTACTATATGTTTTTATAGGGCTAAAAGCCATGTAAAAATGGCGAATTAGTTCTACCAAAATTCGACATTTTACCGCTAAATAATAACTTTAGCCTTCCATGTTGATGTTCTAACGCACGTGGTCGGCAGTAATTAGTGACCCAGATGAAATGAAACTTGCGTAAACACTCTTCTTTCAGCGGTGAATTCAAATTTCGCTTTTATGTAACCAGGATAGAAGAATTAAGTTGAAAAAGAAAATATGACGATAGTAAGTCATATTGACAAAAATGACGAAAATACGTAGTTAGTAAATATGACGATTATCCATCATTTTTCAGAAATGACAGATTTCAGTCTCACCCCTGACTGACAAAAAATAAAAAAAATCAGACATATATTCCCCCCCCCCCCCCCCCCCCCCTTGTTCATCAAATTTGAGACTACTGTTTACAGTGAAAAAAAAGGTCCATCCAATGTAGATTTTACCTCCATTGTTTATCTTCCTCATTTAATACTGACCACTTTATTTTGGACTCGTTTTACAAGTGACCCAACCAGTGTGCAATACATTGTGAAACTACATCCCAGAACAATGTTAATATTTAAGGTAGCGAACCAAGTTGTAGACAGTATACAGTTAAAGTATATCATTGAGGGAGTCAGCAAGATTCCAGTTCCCCAAGAGGAAGTCTATTTCCTGAGGCGCTTTTCATATGATTAAAAGAAATTGCTTAGTGTTCCAAATAGATGTGTATCAGTTCATCAGACTGTCACACCTTTTTGCAGGGAATCAGTCTTTTTATGGTGATTTTCAGGTAATCAGCAAAATATATCGGTGAACAATTTGCTCGGGAACACTAGTGTCTGGATTAAATGGGGCAAGACTGTAATTAATAGGCGGGGTGTTACCTGCAGGGTAAATAAATTTTTTGCTCAATATGGTTGAAAGTATGGAAGAATAGGGCAGGTTTTACCTGAGTTAAGAAGTTCTTTATTTTTATTCCCCCCCCCCCCCCCCCCAGGCCAAAGATTTGCAGAGTTGTAAAATTTCTATGTAAAGTGTAAAGTAACCAAAATGACCTTGGACCCCCCCCCCCCTCCCCAGGAAACATGCATCCTCTAAAAGTGATGAGGATAGTTGTATATGATGGAAATTATTGATGTAGGAAAGTGACTTGACCTAAATTTTGATTGAGTTAATTCAAAATATACATTTACAGTATGCAAAGTGAAGGACCATCACTCTTAAATGACATTGTGTTATTTTAGATCTATCTGTTGATTATGCTAAATTTTGATTGCGCTAATTGATACACATTTACAGCTATAAAGGACTATCACTGTTATTACAGATCTACCTAGTAGATGCGGGTGATCCAACTGGGTCACACCTTTTCATCACAGAAGATGGAGGTAACAGTTTTTATGAGTCACCTCTTCCTTTCCAACTGACGGGGGAAATCTTGTTCCATCCAAACAAGGCACATGAAGATTATCTACTAGCCTCGTCAGCTCTTCTGTCAACGAAGGTATGAAATTAATAAAGGGGAGGGGTCATTTGATGTCATAATAACCCACCAGAAATACAGTGAGACCAAGCTATATGACAACTTTGTTCTGCACTTAATTTTTACTGCATAAATTAATCAGTGTTTTATTTTATTTATTTTACTCATTCTTTCTACAAAACTTAACCATAATTTCTTCAATGGATATGCTAACAGCTATGCCTTTTATGTCACAGATTAAAAGTGGTAATAAGAATTTGATGGTAGGTATGAATACTTTTTATTCCTTTGTCATGTCCTCTGTGTTGTATAGCTAGCTAGTTCATTGTGTCGTCGTTGTCACAGATATATAGAGCTTCACTGAAAAATAATTTTGAATGCTCCCCCCCCCCAAAAAGAACCCTTGGCTGGTTAATTCAGTAATAGAGGCATGTCTGTGTTGAAGTACCCCCAAAAAGCCTCTAACTTTCAGTCTGCAGACTTGTCAGGGGCTAGTGACTCAATCAACCATAAGCCTGGAGAGGGAGGGGTGAAACATTAACCAAAAACAAGCCCAGGGAGCAAGTAAAAAAGGGGTACCTCAGGGGGATCGTAAATATTGCTGCTTCATGATTTTCTTGATTCATGAAAAAAAGTAAAACAAATTTGAAATTGAACTGGAGTAATGAAGATGTGTGTTGTTCTTGTTAAATTTGATTAAATTGAATTCTGTTTTGTACATGTACAAGATGACTGAAAGTTTGATGGGCTCTAACTTCTTTGGGGTCAACAGCCGGCAAGACTGACTGGTATAGCCCCCCAAAAAAGGATTTTGCATGTAGTGAGGTCTATAACCTCAATAGGGCCTCGTAACTAATATAAGGCATGTGGCATGAATAAAAAAACATTTAATCACAGGGTACAAATACTTAATAATGAAAAAGAAATCTTAGCCAATAGAGGCTGATGTGGATTTGGGTCTACAGAATAAAGAGAGTACGTTAATACAGCATTGACTGGAGATGATTGAGTTAAATATAACTAACAACAGACTGAAGCATGCAGCAAGTTTTAAGGGTGTTCTTGGTTGTGTGAAAGGGGGGATAAATGTTCAAGAACTTTATTACAATAAAGCTGCACTAAAGTCTTATACATGTTTGGCAATGAAACCATGTCATCCTAAATGTCACAAAACTCAAACTTTTACTGCATGCGTACTTAAAAAAGTGAGCCTCATACTTTAGCAGCTTTGGTGCAGACAACGATGCGCTAATTCATGAATACTGCTAAGAAATCATTTATAAATACAATGTACGGCACGGACATGTATAGCGCTAATTCATGATTTCGCCAATTTTGCGCTAAATTTTGAATACGCCAATTTATGTACACGCACAGCACATTGCATACCATCCCATTATGTGGAACCTTTTTTATTGATACATGTAGTTTTAATGGTTTAGTTAATTTGAAGTACTAGTAATATTGAAGAAGAGCAGTCTTCATCTGTATATTAGTAAACTTTTGTCTTGTTAATGAAAGCATTATCTGTTAAGTGTTTTTATTTGCTTTTTTTTTTATCTCAGTCGCTGTATAGTTTATGTGTTAGTTTTGCAGTACTAAAGATTTACAGTTTTAGTTGGCACATGGAAAACTCAGGTTACCTATGACTACCCTTCCTAGTACATTAATTATTACAAAGTCTAATAAGTGTGATAAACTTCTGAACATTATTTTATAGTTTCTTCTCAGAAATAGCTGTTCCAGTTTTGGTATAATGCATCTATATGGGCAACAGAGATTTTAAATGCTGTGCCCCCTCCCCCCCCCCCCCCAACCCTGCCTTTTAAAAATTTGGGTCAAAGTTTTCTTGCTGCTTAAGAGAATTTTATGATACTCATGACAAACAACTATCATGGCAGGGAACCTCTTTTTTTTGTGCTGTTATAAACATTGATAAATATATACATATTATATACTTGAATGTCCATGATAACTTGTGTAATCTATATATCTATATGTACTGTTTACATGGAATGCATCTGACAGGTGCACATTGTCAATATTGGCACAGATATCTGTTTAGATTTAACAAATTTTTTATTAGTCGATACATTCTGCATGATTCAGCTTTCGTTGTTGTTATAATGAAAACTTTATGAAGGGTGAATGATGAATCACGTGAGTGATGGTAAATCTCAACTCATCTCCATAGAAGGACTGCTACCCCCTTACCCCCTCCCCCAGCCCCCTCCCACACCCACACACAAATATTTTTGTGAAATTTCTGTTACATGCCATAATGATTCTTTATGAAATGTGTAAACTTGTCACTTCCTGCTACAAAATAAGACCTCTAGACTTTTCTTGAGAGATTTCATTGTTTAGAAGTGATTGGTTGTGTCAGAATGCCTTCACCAATTCTAGAAATATATCTCCAAACTGAACCTCATAAACCTGCCAACTCCAGATCTGAAAAAAGCTTCATATAGGCCTATATCTGTTTTGTTAATTACATAATGCACTGAATAATGTATTTACTACTACTAGTTTTCGGGTGACATTAGCAGCTGCCTGAGAGCCAATGTAATCATTGATTATCATGATCAAGACTTGATCTTTAAATATTGTTTACATTCTGTTGTTGTACATAATATGGTGAAATTAAGTGTTATTCATATGTTTCAGACATTGTACGCCAGTTTTGATAATGGTAGAACTTGGAGAATGGTAGACACTTATGTACAGACCTATAAATGGTAAAGATTCACGAAAGTGGTAATTTACGGTAATAGTGTAGTAGTTAAAAGTGGTAAATTTGTACTGATAAATAATGCTATAAAGATTTTATTTATATAATATTGTTAAGTGGTATTTATAGTAGATTATAATTATAGTCTAAAGAACAATACTTTATACTAGACCTTGTATTTTAAGATCCTTTTGTCAGAAAGAGACATAATTATATATTTTATACTATAAACCTGATAAAGGAATGTTTTCTTTGTTTTACAGGGGAAGTTTAGATGATGACCCCAGAACAATCTATGCAACAGTTGATCCTCAAAAGACTCATCCATTCTTAGCTACATGTACGTAATAACACATGTACATGTAATACAAAAACTTAACTTCAAAGATAACACTTATAAGTTCTTTAAAACATTATGAGAAACATGATAAATGATATACATCCCCCTCGCTTGTTTGTTTACAATAAGTTGATTGGTATATCGTGTGTTGTAAACTATTTGTAGTTGTTGCTATACGGTATATTCTACACCAGTACTGGTTAGCTGATCTGTATACTGTAAACTCTTCACTTGTAGTTGTTGCTATACGGTATATTCTACACCGGTACTGGTTAGCTGATCTGTATACTGTAAACTCTTTATTTGTAGTTGTTGCTATACGGTATATTCTACACCGGTACCCTGATGGGACGGCAAGCAGTAAAACTAAAATCCTAGAGAATGTCTTTTCATTTGGACATCAGGAAAAATTTCTCTATGCCTCAATCTATTCACCACAAGTAGTAAGTGATAGTTACTTGTTTCATGTTAAGTGAAATTCAAGTGAAATTCAAGTGATGAAGAAGGGGGTTAAATGACTGAGCTTCCTTCTAACTGTCTACATTGCTACAATTTTAATAATGATTTACCTTACTTAGGGCTATAATTCCAGTAAAATATCTAACCATCCCATGTACAGCAAAAAAAAAAAAATACTTCTGTCGTGGGGGTACTTACTGTAACATGAAACAATCATTCATTCAAGGGCTCTTAAGGCTTGTTGCAGCTTAGCTTGCCTGAAATGGAGGAAGACTATCTCATCACTTTTACATTTTTGAATGTTAATACAGTGCCCACTGTCCAATCCGACAACTGTGCAATCCGGCACACTGGACATTCTGACCTCATTGTTTATTCCCAAAAATTTCTTTATAATCTATATAGAATAAAACACTGTATATTCCGACCACTGTACATTCCGAATTCCGGCGCTTTTTTGTCAACAAAATTAGATAATTACTTCATGATTTCACTTGAGTAATCTGACATAATTGCACTGGTGTACCGTAATTAGCCGCTGGCCAGGCCACATGAATGTCCCTTTGGTCATAAGATTGGTCTTCTTAGAGAGTAGTTAATTACACGTACGAGTTTGAAAGTGTTTATCCAAGCATTAAATGAACAGTTTTTGAAATTAAAAATTAGGCAATCATTTCTTTTTTATAGTTATCATATTTATTCTCGCATTGACAAAATAGCATCCAAGCGACAGAAAGTAAAAGTAGTACATGATATTTAGATCGCCTTTACCTTACAGAATAACTAAGATTTTTAGTTTGAAATTAAAATCAAATATGCAGCCAGGGTCCTTCGTAAAGCTATGTAATGAAAATAAAAAATTGAGTACGGCCAACTACTGTGTAACATGTACACAATACACAATTTCAAGGCAGCATCTTGTCTTATGGAAAACGTTTCATTTCCGGGTTAATATACACTGAATAAAGCAAGGCTGTGCACATAAAAGATTTGCTTGAAGCAAAGAAAATCCCTTTAAGTTGTCCATTTAATTTTAAAATATTACGTATGTTTGATTAAAATTCAATTGCAATCACAATGTTTTAGAGTTACGTCCCGTTTGTATAAAAAGTCGCGTGACGGTATTAATAGCACAGTCTATGCTGACAAATAATGAATGGCAAAAATCTGTTGAACAAAATAATACCACTGTGTAGAGAAGGTAGACAAAATATTTACTTTTATCTACTGTACAGTCGATAAATAAAAATTAAATTGCAACATCGTGAAGCGATCGGCAGTTCCATCTATTTTGTCCATGAAAAAAAAATCATCGTATACAGAGTTACTAATTCTACATCACAAACGCTGTTTCTCAAAGAAATGCTAATCAGGTATATTTTATACAACAAAGAAACACACAATTATGCAAACACTTTGACAATAAAATATATGTGTACTCTAAACCTATTGAAAAATGATTTTTGTATGAAGTGATCTGACACTAATGATAATGCTTATAGAAATATTCAACACTGGATAATCCGACACACTGCCTAATCCGACATTGATTTTACTTCCCGCAGCATGTCGAATAAGACAGGTTTCACTGTATTTAATTAATTTTGAAATGAAAAATTATGTGAGTTTTTCAAATGATTACTTTCCAAAAAACTAAAAAAACACTACTAATAAAATTTAATACTCAAAAATTGTTTCTATCCCAATCTCCAATATGAAAAATATAAATTCTATGCATGGTGCTCTTTTCAAGAAAAATATTCAGGGGCATGGCTAGAACTTTGATGAAGTATAGGCACAAATTACTCTTTGGTCGGCGAGCGGTCTGGGGGCCGCCCGAGGCCCCCAGCGAGTCCAGGGCAGCGCCCTGGTAGGGGGTTCGGAAATGGATTTCACGACTTTAAGACCACTGGGTGACAAATTCTGGGGCGTTTAAAATACAAAATTATGGGTCTCTTTAAAATGAAATTTCATATTAAGTAGAAAAGATAAAAAAGTGCAGTTCAACTTTTTAACCAGAAATCTTAAGTTAGAAGAGTTCATATTTTTTCGGCGTAAGCAAATTAAGAGAACATGAAGAAAGTTATTTATAAAGTATTCAAAAATAATGAGACACAAAGCAATGTTTTACAATAATGAATAAATATTGATTAAAATGACAATTTTAAAATACCACACATATCTTGTGAGCGTCAGGAGAGTTTTATATATCTGTATTTAATTACTTGCATATAGAAATTTTGAAGACATTTTATAAGGAGTCTTACAGTGAAACAGTCGGTTAACTATTGCAGGTTATTATTACTTTGACAGATCAGTGGATATTTATACATTCATGATCTTTCTATCAATGGCGAAAATGATATTTAGTCATTTATTTTCTTTCTTCTTTACAGTTTTGTTTCTAATTATTTTTTTCTGAATGAAATTAAGTGTAGGTACGTGCCTTAAGTGCCTATTGGCACCTACGCCACTGATATTCTATGGGTGGTCCCCATGAATTTTTCTGAAGTTCTGGGGTTGGGTTGTTTGTTTTACTGGAATAGCCCTAAGAACATACCCCTTTTTTTCATTGTCAGAAGGTCAGAACAAGAGTTCTATGCAAATTAAAAATTTACATGCCAGTCACTGCAAATAACGGTAAAAATTTCTCACAAAAGGGGAAAGGAGGGGGGGAGGGCAATGTTTGAACAGGAAAGTCTTAAAGTTTAAAAAATTGGTAGTAGTTCATCCTTCATATAAATTTTATGTGAAATGGCCCTGATTAAATATTAGAATATGATTTTAAACATTTCATTAGGAGGTAGTCATAATTTTTAATCTCAATTGATGTTTTGTAGAGAGGGAACCGATTGATAAAAATATCAACCAATCAAGGCAAAACTTGGCATACAGCTCAGCTTCCAACCATTACAGGAGACAGGGTGAGAATATCTGAGTTCTTATTCATTCATAGGGACTCAAGCTAATATTTACCAAACTAATATAAATTTGACATCTTCTATTTGTCTTATAAAAGTACATTTTGGCTTAATTTAAAGGTTAAAAATCATCAGTTACACTTCATGTAATTAATAAGTTTCTGGTCAGGAATGATTATTAATGGAATACATTTACTCCATGATTACTTTGATTTCAGTTTTTCTCTGTGCTGGACATGAATGAAAAGCTGGTGTTTATGCATGTGGACAACCCAGGAGGTAAGCAAGGTTCCTCACTGAGGCCTTTGTCTTTTATAATCATCAAATATCATAAAGGAATCAACATTATTATAAAAACAGATATGCAGGAGATAACAATTTTAATTAGTTTATTTTTAGTAACATAATTGTTTTTGTCCAAAATGAAGACCCCTCTGTGGCTGTCATATTCATAATTCATTTTTCCCAGAGGAACTGGGGTTGGGAAATGGTTTAATTAGTCATCAGAAACACCATAAAATACTTAATTCATCAAGTTGATGATGATCTCAAGTGATTAAAGGACTCTGACACTCTGTCACAATGGGGGATCAAAGTTTTACATACTAGGAATATATAGGAAAAAACTTTAAAAATCTTCTTCTCAACAGAATCAAAGTCATGATATGTCATATTGATATGGAAGCATCCTTGGGTAGTGTAGATTCAAGTTTGTTCAAATGATGACCCCGGGGGTAGGGTGGGATCACAATGGGGGTTCAAATTTTTACAAAGGAATATATAGGAAAAAATCTTTAAAAATCTGCTGCTCAAGAACAACAAAGCGATTTGTTAAATTGATTTGGAAGCAGCCACAAGTAGTTTAAAATTCAAGTCCCCCCCCTCCCATGTAAACTTTTCAATACTGAATTGATTTGTGCTCTTTCCTAGCCATTGTGCTCAGGTGAGCGATGTGGCCCGTGGGCCTCTTGTTCACAAACTCGTATAATGATATCATAATTTTGAGACATACCTTGGCATGAGTTAACTTTGGCTTCCTGTTTTTGTAGATACAGGACACGGGACACTATATACATCAGGAGCCCTGGGTGTTGTTTACTCCGAGTCCCTGCCTAAACATCTGTACCCTAACTATGGAGATGTAACTGACTTCTATCGTGTGGAATCTATGCGGGGGGTTTACATCACCAGTCAGATTAACGAGGATAACAGTATACACAGCATGATCAGTTATAACCGCGGGGCCACATGGCAAAAACTGCCCCGGCCAAACAATGCCCCATGTAAGGATGAAAAAAAGGTTAGTCTATCAGTTATAACCATGGGGCCACATGGCAAAACTGCCCCGACCTAACAATGCCCCATGTAAGGACTAGAAAGAGGTCAGTCTATCATTTATAACCGCGGGGCCACGTGGCAAAAACTGCCCCGGCCTAACAATGCCCCATGTAAGGACTAGAAAGAGGTCAGTCTATCAGTTATAACCGCGGGGCCACGTGGCAAAAACTGCCTTGGCCTACCAGTGCCCCATGTAAGGACGAGAAAAAGGTCAGTCTACTGAAATCTGATTGGTTCAGATCCTAGATGTTGCCCTGAAATATTCAACATCATTTATCTGAATGCTAATGATGAACCTAAGCTCTGTTCACATATACATAAAGATAGTATTCAATGAGATGAGCTTTCTAATCTTTTTTTTTTTTGACCTGAAATATTTAACTTGTTTTCTTATCCTTGTTTACTGCTGATGACCTGAGATGTTCATTTTCCATTTTCAGCCATGCCACCTACAGATACACGGGACGTACAGCATTCAGAGGGGGGTAATTGCTAGTCCCCCACTAAGCACAAAGGCAGCTCCAGGAATAGTTCTTGTTCACGGTGAGTACACTCTAGGAATAGTACTTGTTCAAGGTAAGTCCATGTGTACTAACCAGTCCCCCACTCAGCACAAAGGTAGCTCTTGTTCACGGTGAGTACACTCTAGGAATAGTTCTTGTTCATGTTACAGATACATGGGATGTACAGCATTCAGAGGGGGGTAATTGCCAGTCCCCCACTCAGCACAAAGACAGCTCCAGGAACAGTTCTTGTTCATGGTAAGAACATATGTACTATAGGTCTGGAATAGTTCTTGTTCATGGTAAGTTCATGTGTACTAACCAGTCCCCCACTCAGTACAAAGCAGCTCTTGGCATAGTTCTTGTTTATATGGTAATATTTAAATTTTTACCCACTTTTCACTCAAACATGGAATCATTACATGTATCATGTTAAAGCTACATCTTATCTGTGTGTGATGAAATGTACATTGTAAACTCACCTCTGTCATGATTTTGTTATAATGTATAAAGACAAAAGCGTGTCTACTTTAACAAGAATATTTTTGTCAGATGAGTGATATGTTGTCAGCAGTACGTTTTTGCAGTCCATATGTAGACACTGTAATCGGTTTTGTGAATTTCTTTAACTAGGTCATGTAGCAGATGCCCTACAAACAACACACCCTGATGTGTACGTAACCAGTGATGGAGGTTACACCTGGGCCAAGGTACAATTTATGATTGAAAAAAAAAACAAAAACGAAATAATTAGGGCCCCGCAAGGATTTGAGGGTGCCCTATAGTAATCACTCTGTCTATCTGTTGGAAGTATCTCCAAGTTTTATAAATACAGATGCTGTTTCATATTCTTCATATATTTTTAAATTTCCTTTTAAATATCAAGTCAAATGCTCATCTTTTAAGTTGCACCCTTAGATTTCTATCCCTCTGTGTGGCCTTGCTGACTGGTCAGTTTTCTAGTTATATTTTATAAAAACTTTTGCCTATCTTGAAACATCATGAAATGAAAGTGAAGAAAATACTTGCAGATCAGTAAGAACAATGTTAACATGATGCAGACCTATCATGTTTTTCTCTATTTTGATTGTATCAATTGCTAAGTGAATTAGACTATGTTAAAAGTAATACAATGAGTTGAGTTTGACAATTCAGCTACTGTTCTGTTTAAAGGCATTTCTCAGTGTCGGTTCATTTCTCCTACCCATAAACTTCTTTACTACTAGCAAGTAAAGCTGTAATACGTCCTAATTTATGACCTTGACCTTTGTTGAGGAGTTATCTCCCTCAGTTTTGAATTGATAAAATATTTTTTAAAAATATCTGTTAAAAAAAACTGTTTTGTTTTAATGTCATTCTATTTCTAATTATTTAATGCATCTTTCCACCTCAACATTAATTGATATTCATATTATTTGAATTTTTATTAAAAAAAAAAATTGATTGTTCTCATAAACTTCAATGCAATATTTATGAATTAATTACTGCTTAGTTAATTAGGTTTGTGAAACTTTCTCTTGATAAATCCTTTTCTACAGTAAAATTCTTTCAATTCATTTTATTTCTATTTTTAGGCATTGGATGGTCCCCATCAATATCAGATAGCTGACAGTGGGGGGTTACTGGTGGCCGTCTCGGTTGACAGTCCACAACCAACGACAATCAAGTTCTCAGTGGACGAGGGCCAGTGCTGGCATGAATATAAATTTGTACAAAATAAAGATGAGGAGATCGTAATGACGGGACTCCTGACTGAGCCAGGGAACCAGGCATTATCTGTGGGGGTGTGGGGGTACCACCCAAAGAATAAGACATGGACAGCATTTATCATTGACTTCTCCAAGGTCATCAAAACTCAGTGTAAGTTGTGTAACTCCTGAGAATTATAATGTATATTAGTTTAAAATTTAGTTTTGGTTTTTAAAAAAAAATTCCGGGTTCTAAGTACTAAGTAATCCCACTCAATACTTTTGAGTGAAGTATAATATTCCACATTGCTATACTGCATGGAAGTTTGGTTTGTGTTACATCATTGTAAACTATCTATTCTTCACTATTGTTTTCCCCCTTATACTTCTCACATGTAAGCTCTAAATCTATAATTAATATGCTATATCAGTTTGGGGGAAAAATTATTTCAAAATTTTAATTCTAATTTGTCTAAATCTTTCAGTCTGTAATTGTTTTACCCAGCTTCATCATATCCCCCATCCCCAGTCATGTATTTATTTCTCCTTTATGTCAAATGTTTCAGTGATCTAAATGTCTTTACTATAGGCGGATCAGATGACTATGAAAAATGGATCCCACACGTTAAACTGAGAGCGAATGAGGAAGCTGGTGTAAAAGGCTGTCTGCTTGGGATGAGGGAAGAATTCAAAAGGATAAGAAAGGACAGTTGGTAAGTTATGACCTTGAACTCTGGATAGGTAGAAATAAGTCAAGGACCTCAAACTGGACATTTCTGTGAAGACTAAACCTCTTCTCAATAAGGTCAGGTAAGTCAGTATTTAAGTTCAGAAAAGTCAAGTCCTTGAACTCTGGAACTGCAGATAAGTCAAGACCCCTAATTCTAGGTAAATTCAGTTAATTAAAACCTTTTCTGATAAGTTAAAGAAGTCAAGATATTTAACTCTCGACTGTTTAAATTCAGATAACTTGACACTTTTAAAGGACTTATCGCATGATCTTTCAAAAATCGTAATTTTATGAAAAATATTATCTACAACCTTGTTTATTAAAATACTGAATACAATAAACGTTATTGAAAGCATACTTTAAGAGATATTGAGAGTTGAAATTCAAATACGGCAATATGCATATTTTAGTCGGATTTCGGCGATTTACTGCTCTGACGTCATAGGCGACAATTCAGTGATAGAGAGATGAGAATATGTAAACTATTTACGTAGTTATCAACGACAAATGCAGCTAAATTACGAAAAATGCTGAAAAAATTAATTCCTAGCGTGCTTTTTAATTACTATAGAAACATTAACTAGTTCTAAGGTATAAGGCTTTTGAGATATTTTCGTTTTTTATTCGAAACATTCAGAATCTGTACAGCTCCGATTATGGCAATGTTTCGTGATCGGAAAATTATTTTTCAATACTGCCATCCTTTACAAAACATAAGTAAATTAATGTTATGCTAAAAACGAAGAATAACAAAGTTATACAATATTAAATTTGTAAATCAATTAAGTTAATACATGTGATAAGATGACAAATCAAATTATATTGTGATGGCGAGTTTCTTCGTCTTCGCCGCGTCTCCTTCGATACCGTCGCTTCTATTTTTACAATGTTAACAGATTTTTCAGATTTTTTCTTGCTGACAATTCTAAAATATAAGGTTGGATATTCAATTTCATATCGATAAAATCAGTGATGTGGTCGTCCACATTGCAGAATATTCATGCTGTATCGCATATATTTTAGTAAGATTAACTATAGAGCTGATCAGCCATTGTCGCCTTTGACGTCACAAGGTCACGTGATCGCTATCAAATTAACTTAGATTTTTAATCCAGGGGTTTTCATTTGAGTCAATAATTGGTTAATTACCACTGTTTATCCGCAGCAAAAACACAAAATTTATAAACTGTGGTCATAAGGAACGTTTTACGCTTTTAATTTCAAATAATTTAGAAACATGCGATAAGTCCTTTAACTCTGGTAAGTTCAGATTAATCGGGACTTTTAAATCTGGTTAAGTTCAGATAAGTCAGGGCTTTTATCACTAAGTTCAGATAATTGTGGATAAGTTCAGATAGGTCAGGACTTCTTATTGTAGATAAATAAAGGTAGGTCTGTATTTACAACTCTTGATAAGTCTTGGTAAGTCAAGATGCCACTATCACTCAGTTTTGTATTGTACTCTATAAATCTTGATATTTGAGGTACTAAGATTGGATTGTGAATGCAGCTACCTTCGGTAGTACCTGTATTCTGGACGGAGGTCCATAAGTCTTATCCTCTAAAACATTGTGAAAGTCAAGTATAGTAGCTTCAGATAAATCTGTTTCGGTTTTCTAAATACATACGTGGAGTACAAATCTTTTTCCATGTAGGTCAAGCTTATACACTTTAAATTAAATTAATAATAATTTTAAAAGCTTTAGATCTCAAAATGAAAATGAAGCAGTCATTGATCCTTGCTAGTCAAGATCTTTAAAAATCAAATAATAAAAAAGTAAGAAAATTACAATTTTTTTTCTTCAGGTGCCACAATGGGTATAATTATACAATAGAGAAGAAGGCAACAAAGTGTGTGTGTACTCGTGAGGATTATGAATGGTGAGAATATCTAGAAAAAACATTTCATTGCATTATTTATTATAAATTATCTACACTCCTCATTTACATTTTTCTTATAACATGCGTGGAAAGCTTCAGCATTCAATACACAAAAACACGGATGGGGAGGTCAAAAGGTTAAGTTATGATTTTCATTTAGACAAATGTTGAACCCCATGCAAGTGCAATGTCGTAAGCGAAAATCAAAATTCACGTTCATGTTGTAGAGTTCAACTGTAGTAGCTGTTGGAATGGCTCTTCCATTAATTGTAACCCACACAAAGGATAATACAGGGCTTTTGAAATATAGGTCACATTTGCAGACAAGGCAGGGAGTTAAAAAATGTCAATATAAGCATTGAATTATTATTTTTTGAAAGATGTAGTCTCACTTACTTCAATGGTGTGAGCAACACACACATACAGGTGCTACTCAATTTGTTTGCACACTATGTAATTCAATAAATAATAACTCAATGCTTAATTGAATTCACATACAGATTTTGGAGATGTTTGTGCTTAATGAATTTCTGCCATGACATCACTGAAAGCCCTTGTCTTGGTGCAAATAGAGAAGCAGTTTTTGTAACAGCTGAATATCAATAGATACTTAGTGTATAACTTTTGGATTATGTAGGCACCCCTGCCTTTAAATTTTTTAATTTTCAATTCAATGTTTTTAATTTCTTGTAAAATTTCTTGGTGTTTCTTGGTGTTTATTCTTAGACTAATACAAATACTTGGATTCAAATATTTATACATTGTTTCTGGAATAATGGGGGGGGGGGGGGGGGTGTTACTATACTATATAACACATGTATATTCAAATTAAAAATAACATGTTAGATTAAAGTATTTCAAATAGCATAATATAAATTTTTTTATTTATTAAATTATGCCCCCATAATCAAATACTAGTTGGGAATATAGTAATAAGCCTGACTACCTGTCTGTCTTCATGTGTTTGTTTGCCTGCAAAATCTTTAACCTTGCCCTTAAATTTTGAATAGTTGGTGATGGGGCTCTGATATTTCACATATATATTCTTTGTGACAAGACCTTTCTTTAGTTTTTTCCTACATTTACAGTAACGAGTAATGTTGATTTTTTTTCTGTTGACAGTGATTATGGATACCTCAGGGATACAGGCTCAGACATCTGTAAAAAGGACCAATTATTTGTAAAACCGGAGATTGACATTTGTCTGAGGGGCCATGAAGAAAAAATTATCACTGAGGGGTACGTTAGAGGTTTATAATAAGTGAACGTTCCTCCAACTGAGTCACATAATCAGTACTTGGTGATAACATGAACACTCTCAGTGCCATTAAGTACTTGATGTTTAATTGTGTCATAAATCATTATGTACATGAATGATACAACTTATATGGTTAATGGCTAGTGTTGTTGTCCAGTAGTGATGATTTTGTTTTATATAATAATGTACAAATTTGACCGTTGACCTAATTTATGGATGGCTGCTATTTATGTGAACTTCCCTGTATGTCCTTTGAAATTTCATCAGAACAGTTACTGTATGGGTGAAATATGATTCAAGAATTTGACATTGTGAATATTAAGTTAACCTTGATATATTATCAACATTAGCTAATACTGCTACATGTACCTGTGAAAATGACTCCCAGACCTGTGTTTCACAGCTTACTTACAATATAAGGTTTCTAGTAAAAAAAAAAAAAAAACCACAATATATTAGGGGACTTTTCTTTGCTAAAACGAATGTTCCCTAAAATTTTCAGGTACAGGAAAATCCCCGGAGACGTATGTGTGGGAGGATTTTTGCCATCCGGGCGACAGATAGATTTGTCTGTCCAATGCTCGGAGAATTCAAAAGAACTGGTACTGGAGGAAATAACCTATAAGAAGGTGAGAGATGACAAATATTGGAAAAATACTGGAACAAAACTAGGGATGATACAAGAAAAAAAAAGTAGAATACTATGAAATGGCTAATTTTCGGGGAATTGATTTTCTTGGCATGAGATACTCATTAATTCATATCCTGTTCAAAATGTAAATTATAAAAATATATTTACAATTTAATACTTCTTCAACCAGTAAATCAGCTCCCCTTTTTTTCCTCAAACCATGAAATTTTAAGCCCATAAAAATTTATGATTTTAAAGTGCAGTCACCCAACTTAACTAAAAGCAAAAGTCTTTTTTGCATTCCTTTTGTTCACCTGACCCCTTTGCCTTTAGACACTGTAGGATCGATCCTGATTCTTATTCTGTAGCACATTGAGCAGACATTTTCTTAATGCAGAGTATATAAAAGATATAAAAGAAATTTATTGATGCTTTTTATCTCACAGAGTCTAAATATTTTAGAGCTGATTTAACAAATGCAATATAAAACAAATTAATTGAAGTTTTTAAAGTGAAATTTTCTCATCAGAACAAAATTTTTTCTTAGACTTTTTAAAAATTATATTTTTAGAGTTGATTTGTTACCTTTGACCTTTGATCTTGTAGCAGACTGGAGGTCACAATAGCAGTGTGATAGCGGTGGTGGTGATCATGGTAGTGTTGTTGTTGGTCATCATGAGTGTGTTCTTAGTCCATAAATACATAATACTCAGGCGACAGTGAGTACAGAGTTTTCATTATTTCACTATCCCTGTAGACATTGTAGGGGGCAGAGGTGTAAATCATGTATTGCTCAATTTCCTCTCAACACTGGTAGGGATGTAAATTTAATTGTATGTATTTTGTGCTTCGTAATTTCATCTTTCTCTGGTTGGTTGAGAGAGATGAAATCATCTTAGTATAAAGTTACGTTACCATATATAGATTGTGTCAGAAACTGCTGAAAGGACTACATTCGGTAATAACCAATATTTGCCCCCCAAATCAAATTTTGACGGAGAAATCTATAATTATATTCTAAACCGGGGGATATCTGCAGACTTCAAATCAATTAAATAATAATATATTCATCAGCTATGATGCCATATGTTAGATATGTTGTCAGGAAAATGATGTAAATTCAAAATTTCCATGATTTGTAGAGAAAAAGGTGTATATTATTTCAATATTTTGAGTAAAAGTCACCGAGCGCAGGTCTGCTCCAACTTAATGTTTTGATATAATGTGTAGAATGATAATACCAATGAAATATGTGAATATTGTTATGAAGCAGGTTTGCACTCTATAAATTATATAGTGAAAATTGAACAAATTTTGTCCATTTTGTCCTATTTCTGAAAAATAACACAAAATCCAAATAGTACGTGACGTCATGGAAACAAAAATTGCGAATAACTTACTTAGAAACTATTATATGTTTTGTAAATTCAAATTTTTCAAACAATATACTGACAATTCAGCACTTTTCAAGAAATTTTCAAAATTTGTCTTTTATGGGGGCAAAAATATGCATATACCGCATATATACATGAATAGCTCTTTGTTTGTGAATGTAGTTGATTTTGCTTGTCAATGAGTACCTTTATACTATGGATGTTTTGTGTTTTAGTCGTGTGGTGTACAGTTATACTGTACTTGAGTACCTTTATACTATGGATGTTTTGTGTTTTAGTCGTGTGGTGTACAGATATTCTCTGCTGAATCAGAACGATGCTGAACAGTATGATAACGAGTTTGAGACAGCAATATCTACCACATCTGCCACGGTCTACCACGACTCGGATGATGATGAGGTGGGTAGTTTCATGTCAAGATGATAATGAAATTGAAGTCATTCCATTGGAGAGCAAAATTGTTATTTTATCAACAGAAAAATATTTTTCAACGTTTTGTCAACATTTTTTTAAAACTAAGCTACAGTTAATTGTATATGTAATTGTATATATGTTCTCTGTCTGTTCTTCAGGAGCTGAATTCACCTGCTGTCAAAAAAGATAAAAATATGTATGGAAGTACCGCAGGCAGCCGGACCAGTTCAAATCATACACGAGTTAAATCGTATCATGATGATTCAGATGTAGTAAGTATAGGACAGTTATGTCATTCACGAGTAAATTAAAATATATCGTGTGTAGAAAGTATAAAATCTAGGGACAAATCTACTCAATATGTTTGTCTATTATTAAAAGTGTGATTCTATTCATAAGTCCACTGAGAAAGAGATCTTTGATGTAAAAAGTAAAAGTTTATAAGTTAATATTTGCATCCACTAAATATTTTCTCCTTTATTTCTTTTGAAAACCATAGTTGTTTATCAATACTTAAATGCCGCTAAACTAGCCACCTGGGTAGATTTCTTCAGCAGCAGCTCTTAAATCAGTGAAATATACAACGACATACATATCAATAAATTACATACTTATTACTACTTTATATGATTATTTATACAGATAGAAATATAAACTATAAAGTGTCTTTTTTATCGTTATTATGGAAATTAATGCAGCCTTTATGTATTTTTTCTGCAATAATAGCTGCAACATTAATTCCCATATTAACAACCAAAGATTAAATTGACCCAGAAAGTATACTCTTATGTAAAGAGTGCAAGATCACTTAAAATTGTGCCACTTTTTGCCCCCTTTCAAATATGCTGACTCTGGTCTGTGTGTAGGTGACTCAGGTCTATATGAAAAGTTGAAGTCTATTCACAAGTCCACTCAGAAAGACATCTTAGATGTGAAAAGTATTTGTTCAAACCATTTTCTGTTGCTAATATACAGTTATAGAATATGCATGAACAAATATATGGGAGGAACTATTTCTTGCACAGCGAAGCTAGCTGTCAAGGGAAATAGTTTCCTGGAAAAAGAGGGACCATTTATTTGGTACCAGTATTTCCCTCATACCCATTCCATAACTGTTTTACTGTTTTACAGTGTATACAGGCATATTTTCGCCCCTTCTTATTTTCATACTTGTGAACAATTTTGCCCCGTTTTAAATTCACCCAGTCACAGTTCTGTTAAAGAACTCGTACTGTGTTGTTTAAATTCACTCTGTTTTGAATTTGCTCAACTGTGATTAGGGAAAAAGGGGTGAAAACAAAATAGGGGCGAAAGTTTCCCTTTATACAGTATTATAACTGTCTGAAACATTGTACATAAAGTCTTAATTAAAGAGACTTTTTTTTTATATACATGTAACCATATACACAGACGTTATTTTCAGACAATATAAATGTAGATGCATTCAAGTAAATTATAACTGAAGTTTTATTAAATCATTAATTAATCAATATCAAGGGAAATAACTTTATGAATTCACTGGAATTACTTTTTTTTTAACAGGATATGTTGGAATGAATGCAATGAAAAGTTGATTCCACTCAGACATTCCTTTTCTACAACAACTGCTGTTTTTTTTTTCTTGATGTGTTTTTTTAACAAGTGTATTTCACATGTGATATGGCAGATCCTGTAAAAGTTTGAAGGATTAGAAAAAGAATTGTTTTAAAGTTTTTTTTTATCTAATTATTCAAAACTAATAATAGCTGCCATTGTGAGAAAAGGGAGGACTCAACCGAAAGAAAAATATTTCTCATCTTCAAATAATACTGTCATGATGCAGCTATAGGTCAAGGACTCGTAACTGAAAGGATGAAATCTCCTAAAAAAAAGACTGACTTGTTTTTCCCTAAGTGTTCAGAGAAGCGTTTTCTGTCCCAGCACTTTACATCATACCTATTTGTTCTCAATCCTGCTCAAGAATCACCCTGGATTAAGATGACTTCCAATAACCATTATTAAAATCAGAGTTTTGTTGTGTACATCTCAGACAAGCACGTCTGTAATGTTAATGCTTACAGTGCAGTGAACAAGAATGGATTGTTATACAGTACATGTAGAGGAATGTCTGTATATCTTGTTAAGAATTGGTGTGATGAAATTTTTGTTATTCCTTTATTTTCATCAGGTTTTGTGGGTGTATAAAGTTATTCTTTATTTATAGTTTAGGTGTTTGTAGATTATTTATAGATAATTCTAATATTTACATGTGATATGGTTTCTAACTGGTTGTTTTGTGTATTTCTTTTAATTTTCTTATTTTGGGGGTTAGAGAGAAAGAATCCGAGTTGGACTATTTCATACTGTTAAGATCATTATAACTAGCAAATTCCTTGAATGTAAATTTTGGGGACATGGATTAGTGTTGAAGAAATTATCTTCAGATTTTTTCAGGCAGAAGTATTTCTGTACTTTTAATTGTAGATAAATATGTATATTACTACAAATTGTTAGGAACCAATTAGTTTACAGAAAGGAACTGCAGTTTGGGGTCTGTTTTCTTTTTTCAGTATTTGAACTTGAGCAATAACTATGTCCCATTCATGTAATGAGTTGATATTGATTCCGTGTATTTAATACAGAACCTGACACAAAGATGGTTACAGTACATGTATGATTGAAGTGAGTGTTATACATACTTTCCTTTGGATCTCATTCTTGACACATCTAGCTTTGATTTTTTAACATTTCTGACTGTGACCTATATTAATGTTCTTGTTAAGTAAAAATCTCTGTTGACCTGATGAACATCCAGGTTCTAACAATCATATTAGGAACTTCTTAGTATGTTTGTTCTTTGTACATGTTTGTAAGCAACTCTATATATATATTTACTGAGCTTTTTAACTCATGTTTGGACAGCTTCTACATGTATATCTGAGCCTCATTCATGTTTGGAAGACCCCTACATAGTATGACATAAATTTTTGCTACTTATTAGTAAGATTAACAAGAGATGGTCTTAATCTAGTACTAAGATTAATAGCTGTAGAGATAAACTTGTTTGTTTGTTTGCACAGTGCTGTTGAGATCTGTTGATTGACAGATTAAAATGTTCACACAGTAGAAGATTAGAGGGGGAGCAGCTTAGTGGGGGAAATTATACGATGCATAATTTATTTGAAAAAAAATGAATTCAAAGTAAAATATCTTTCTAGATAGTGTGTGTGTGTATGAAATAGCAATGAGTATGGTATATATGTTATGCACATTTGATAATATTTATAAATGATTTAGAAGCATTTATATTTCCTGAGTTTTGAAAGTTTTATCACAATCAACAATATAATTTTTTAAAAAAATCTGACTCAGTGACTGATCATTCCATACATTTTGTTTACAATAATTTTTTAATGTACTTTTAGCTTTACTGTGGCACCAAATTAGATTTTCACAGAGAGAATGTTTGGGTAAAAAGAATCGTGTTTTGAATGGGAAAAAATGGGTTATAATTTTGTTTTTTGGTGTGTTTTTTCCCCTCTTTTTTGAAGATTGTGTATTTGAAGTAATGGTGTTTTGGAGTGATAGTTGTATGTAATTTCTATATTGATATTAAGATGTGTATTAGTTTGTAAAGTATCACTCTACAGAAATCCAGGCTGTGGGTCTTGGTTCAGTTTAACATTAAGAGACAGGATAGCCAACTGTCTACTGTTAGATTTCTATGCTAACCGAGATTCCTTGTTTCAAATGATCAAGGTTTGCTTGTTATCTTTTCAATAATAAATATTTATTACTGCAAATTTATGTTATTTATTTTCACTGCAACTTACAGATTAATAGAACATTATGTATTGGTGTTAGATTTCATTGTAATAATATCCTTTGAAGAGAGAAAGATCATTTGAAATACTAGGTATTAAGTACTGTAAACCAACTATTATTCGCGACAACTTTTATTCGCGATTCGTCAGTTTGAAATCAATCCGCGACGATTAATTTTTGCGACTGAGGAAACACTCTCTACAAATACAAAGCAAAATAAATGGTTCGCGGCGATTAATATTCGCGAGATAAAGTAGGTCGCGAAATTCGCGAATATTTCTCGCACGCGAATAAAAGTTGGTTTACATTATATTCTAACTTATAAATATCACAAAAAAGTGACTTTGAAAGTAAAGTTCTTAATTTGAGAAAGGTCATTATTGAAGATGTTTACGAAGTTTAAGAGTAAACTCTCCTGCCAGTCATAGGTTTTGATGTAATTGTATTTGGAGGAAACGGGTTTTCAGATTTTTCGAAAAAAGTTCTTTCGAGTTTTTTGAGAATCCACATTTGATTAACACCACTTCTAAAATAAGATGTGGCACAGTACATCAGAGCTTTCTCCTCTACAACAGTTCATATTTCTGTGAGGAGTAAGATAAAATAGAGGCTTGGTTGCACATGTACTAGACACTTCAATGTATTTTGGCACCTGATCCCACCTCTGATGTTTTGGAGATCCGTGTTTGCTCTGCTCCTATTTTGTATTGTTTAATCGACTTGGACTTTTGAGCTTAAACTGTTCGTTATCTCCATATGTTTCATTTGAAAGGATTCTTATGAAGTTTTGGAATCCAGTACACTAGTAGGTACGATAGATCAAATTCACTTCCACTGACTGGAATTTAAAAAAGTTTAAAACTGAAAAGAATTTCATCGTTTGAAAGGATAGCGAGATCTTGAGTTGATTTACCAGATGTGGAATTAAAACCCAATTCTTCAAAGATGCAGTTGTAATAATGATCCCCACAAATAAAGACTATATTGTTAGAAGCTTTGTCAACTGGAACTAGAACATGTTGCTCCTGTAGCCTTTTTAATTCATTTTTTTACTTCCACTTTATTGAAAACAGAAATATAGATGGTTTTCATTTGCCTATTAATTTTATAATACGATTCTTTATCTGACATGGTTTCGAGATCTTCCTAAATTTACATTTCGAAGCCTTAAATCAGCTATTTTTATATGCAACATTACCCATTTTACAATTCAGATAGTGGAATAATATTTCTATTTTTTGAGCGATGCTTATATAAGCCAGAGGTTTCGGTGAACATTTCTGCTCGACAGTTGTTTAAAGTCTTCTGCATGTAAACATCAATTTACTATTTACATCATCTTCTCTAAAACCCCAGGATGAATTTCTTATCTTTTATTTTTTTAAGTTTGTTGAAATGAAGGGCGATGTCCAGTTTTTAATGAGAGGAGATAATTTCAATCAATTTTAATAGGATGAAACATTTTAATGACCACACAAAAGACATTTTCCCCCTATTATTCCATGCAACATTACCTCTGTTGTGGTCGCCCGCGTGGCGCAGTGGTTAGAGCGATTGCTCTAGAGTCGCGGAGTAAGGAGTTGATCCTTACGTTGCGGGTTCGAATCCCACTGTGGGACGTGGAGACCGGTCCTTCGGATCGGATGAGACCGTATAAACCGAGGCCCCGTGTCGCAGTAGGTACTGGCACGTACGAAAAAGATTCCTCACTGCTCAATGGCCCTGAGTGCCGAGTATAGGTCAAAATTTGCAGCTCTCCACCGGCAAGTGGTGGCGTCTCCATATGAGTGAAAATTTCTCGAGAGGGACATTAAACAACAAACAAACAAACAAACCTCTGTTGTGACCCAGTCTGCTTCCATGGGCCATGACTCGAACAATTTAAATTATATAGATACTTAAGATTGCTTGATTATTTGTTGCTTATCGTTCCATTCGAGAATTTTCACACAGATAGAAAAGTCACCGTATACCGGTGAGGGGCTTCAAATTTAATTAGAACTATGCTTGAAACTCAGGGCCATTGAGCAGTGAGAGTTCTTTATTTTGCAACGGAGCCTCGATTTGCAAGGTATCATCCGAAAGACCCTGACTTTCACTTCTAATGCCGTGCGCTTGGCGAAGGAATAGTCAGTTTCTATGTTTATGTCTTAGGTGTGACGCAACGCGGCAAATATAATCGAACCCGATCACAAAGCAAACACCCTACCACTAGGCTACCGAGACCGGTCTATACTTATGAAGAAAACTTTAAACAATAGTTTTGTCTTAATGCTCAGTGATGTAAATGTATGAGATTTATAAATAAGCAATATATATTTCCACTGTTTCCTTATCATCTCCTCTTGAAAACAGTTACATCTCTTCAATTAAAAAGAAATCTCCCTCAAGAATGCTTTCTGACAAATAAATCTTGCAAAGTGATTCTTGAAAAGAAATAGAAAAGTTAAAAATATAAACGACAGATATTCAATATGATAGCTTTGATTTGAAAACAATGTGTAATCCTAATCAAGTGACCTAAATTATATGTAATTATAAGAACCTTAGTCTTCGGAAATCTCTAGAAACTTGTACACAGTGATTACATTATTTGTCTCCTGACCAAGATAAAGGTTTTGTTTGTCATCAACACACAGGCCACACGGACGACGTAAACCGTCATCTGACGTCAGCAGTAAACGCAGGAATTGACCGTCCTGATCAAGAAGATGAACACTTGCACTATTAACCCAACAATTGCACACCAATGCCTGTCCTAAACTATCGGTGCAGATACCGCTAGGCCTGAAGTGAGACTGGAATTTTTGACCTGTGTAGTTAAACCGATGTCGTCCCGAGCTATCTACAACTACGACTTGACCCCAGCTGGACGATGTCCAAATATCCCCGTTCTTATTTTCTGTGATGTATTGTGGTACGTTTTCATACAGCCTCCGTCCATTCTTGTCCTCCTCAATGACCTGTGTCCAGCCTGTACTGTCGTGTCTTGTAACTTTGCTGAGAAATTTTCCTCTTGTTGTGCTTGTATATTGAACTAGAAGTATTTCACCGTTTATCCGAGAGTAATGAATACAATATGGTTTCCATTCTGTTGTAAAAAGTGTGGTAATATCCCCGTCTTTTGCAAACATTTTCACTTTGTATTCACTTTGTTCAACAAATAACAGGTCTCCTTTCTCTGTGGTTACATGGAATCCACTCAATGTGAAAAATTTAGGAATATTATGTAATATCTTTCCATTATGCTCTATTTGTAAAAGCTGATCATGGTCATTGTACACCCATATTCTTTCTGACGTCACAATAGAGATATGACGTATACACTGAGCTCCAGGCACAGTTATGGTCGAAAGTTGAATGGGAGAAGGGAGAATCGAGAACGTCTTTTCAATGACTCCTTTAAAATTAATTCAAAATCATAAGAAAAGATAAACCTTTTAAACTTTCAACGTAAAATTCACACGACTTACATTTAACTCTGTATAGAATTCTTTCTGATTGAACATTTTAATAAAAATGAACAGGGTTTGATTTAAATGATATCTGTTTGATTTTCATAGTTTTTGTGCACTGCACATCAACAATTACTATATATAGCACATGAAACTCAAACCTTTAGATCGTTTAGCTCCATTTCCATCATTTTTCACTTTCAGTCTCTTCATGTCGCTTGATCTAAAAGTAAAGGTAGGATTGAAACTGTAAAGATAGTATTGAAACTGATTCATGGTGTTTTTTTTAAGTGTCATTGAAAAATCATTTTTGAAAATGCTGTATGTTTTTTTGAAGTTTAAAAATGTTACCAGAATAGAGAACTGGTGAAATTTTTTTTTTTTTCAGGTACATGTATAGACAAAGATAAACACGAAAGAGAGAAATTCCCCAGTTCTATCCTTTCTATTCATCTCAAAGTTTGACTTGTATCCTTAAAAAGTCGAAGGAATGATAACTGTTGTTTTGTATTGAATCAGACACAAAAATTTAAAGAGAAAATCAAACCTGATATAAAACCTGAGTAATACAATATTGGTCATGTTCGCTATTTATGTGTTCAAACACTTTTCTTCAAGCCAACGAAAGAATTGATAGGTACTTATACTTGGTCTTTTTAATATTCCTTTTCTTTTTATAAATATCACATACCAATAGTAGAATTCTGACTCCTGATAAATCCACTTCATCGCACAATTCTCCTTTGGAGCTGTAATATGTAAAAAGTCAACAACAAAATGCACTCAAATACATTCATAAGAATTGACAATAAATGGAAAATAAAATCATGATTTTTCAGCAATGTCTGATTGACTCCATGAGCTATTATTATTTCCTGAGGGCTGTATACTCTACACTAGACAAAATTGTTAATGCACCATCTTTACCTTTTTAAAGTTGTTTAAAGCGCATCTGATTGACAATGTGATTGATAAAATGTTTACCATGATTAAAGTTAGATGTTTAAATGCCCAAACTGGTAAATAATGATTATTGAAGAGTAACCATTTCATAGAATTTAATAAAAATCGTGCTTACACGTTTAAGAGGAATTAATTTCCATTTTCATTTTCTTCTTTGAAGTTATATTCTTGATATTTACAATTATTAAGAACATGACAGGGTATGCAGCCTCGGACCCTAGAAGAGTGTGGTAGGGCAGTTGGTATGCGTGGTGTCTGCGGTATGCAGCCTAGGATCCTAGAGAAGTGTGGTAGGGCAGTTGGTATAGTGGAAGGTACTGTAACGAGATTAATGAATTTAGAAATATCTTCTATGGGTAAACATAATATTTAATAGACACCACAGGACTACTGCACTACTGCAAGATTGTATCGTAAACTTGTGGTATATCAGAAGTGTGATAAACTGGATACGGATGCCAAAGTAGGCAACAAAGGCAAGATGTTAGATATTTTGTTAGATATCAATTAAGAGACAGGGTCACCATCGCTATTGCAACCTCTCTGACAATCATCGGTAACCGCCAAACTTTTAAGTTATATCAGGACAAAAAAGGTAAGTAATCGGCTTCAGGAAAATAGATTGCAAGCAAGAGGGTCATTGCAGGGTGTTGTGTTGAAATAAAGGCACCGACAAGTTCGACTGCATTTGAGCTTTACTCGTGTGGATGATGCAGAAGTCGTATTTGCAGATGAAAATACTGCGTGGTGTATTAGCAAATTTGTCTAGTGAAATGTGATCATTCTCAAAGATTCATTTAAACATTACAAATTATGAGTAGAGCAAAAACGGTCCTCTTAGTCACACCCGCTATGTGCACCGTATCATGAACGGTTAAACAGAAAATCCGTAGACAATTAAGTGTGAAAATAATTGCCTAACAATTTGTGAAAGACATCAGTCATCATTCGACTTAACGACAGACTGTCTTTGCAGACAATGTTATTTTATCGACAATAAAACTTGCAAAATGTTGACTTTAAATGAGATTATTGACATCCTTGTATCATCAACTTATTTATCAATAGCTTGTCTCGTTTTAGAAATTGTATATACGTAGAACATGCTTTCGTGTATCGATTAACTGGAAAACATAAACATATGCAGGTAATAATGATATATTGCTACATGAATAATGGAAGCTTTCGATTAGTGATTTTTTATATTTGACTTGACACAGATTAAATGAATGGGTTTTACATAGACATGCGGATTCCGATGTTTAAAATTCAATTAGAAAATATTAATATCATTTGTGACTGTACATGATAAAAATAGGCAGTACATGAAGAAAACAAATACAGAAAAAATGCAACTCGAGAAATGAAATTGTTTTCTAATAGTTCAGTAATGATGAAAATATAACCGGATACATACCTCCTTTTCAGTCGCATATTACTACGATTATTTTTAAGATAAGAATTGAAGTCTATTCAAAGATCTCTCTGACAAGTTTGGAACAGGCTTGCATTACAGTTATTGAACAGAGGAAGACATTTTAAGGATCTTTTTAAAATCTAACTTTTGTTTGTTTTGTAGTGAAGTAAACATTACGAACCATTTGTAGAATGGTGTTTGTGCTTTTTCTATTTGAGTATCAAAAAAATCTATATTCAGTCAGCAATTCAAAAAATCAATACACTGAAGCCTTACAAATTTAGTTTTAAAAATATCCAGTAGTATTGAATGGTTATATACTTGTTTACTCAAAGGCGTATTTATAGGATGTTTCTATATTACCAATACTTATCTAAGATTTCATTCTTTCACGAATGTAGTATTAATTTACTCCCCATTAACGAAAGATTTAACCTTTCCAAAAAAAAAAGAAAGGAAAATTTCAGCACCATAATGCAAATGGTGATAATTATGAACAGTGATCAGTCTAATGAATCTAGTGAAAAAGATGGCAAAAACATGGGCCATTTGAAACACCAGAGTTGGGTTCAGGTACCTAGGGGGAGAAAGCATCCCCTGTCGACCGTCACACACGCACTGAACCCTCTGTGTTGATCAGGTAAACGGAGTAATCCGTTGTCAAAATTGTATAAAAACAATGGTTTTAACAATTAGTGGGAAACATACCGGTTGAAATTCGACCCAACGATGGGTTGTACTTAAAACAAGGTCATGGTAACGACCATAGAATTGAGACTGAAAACGAAATAGATGAAAGCCCTGTGAGATTAAATTATTCTTTAGTGGTCTGGCTCTGTTTAGAAATTGATCGTACTCGGAGCATGCTCTTGAGTATTGAATCAATTGGGAGACATAAACACTATTTAGGTGATTGTACATGTGGAATATCACTGCATCAGAATTGAAGACGGAAAAGTTGAAGTCATCCCGTTTATCACATAGTTGTGAGTTTACTATTAACGTGTATATTCAGTAAATACCCAAGTACAAAGATGATGTAGTGTCTTTTATTTCGAGTTCACTGGAATATATCGAGTAGACGTATGAATGAAAATAAATACTAATTGATAAATCGAAGTTGAATTCAAACCCACCAAAAGAAAGATGAAATTCAAGGAACTCTTGTATATAAAACAATTCTAACTTGGAACGGGTCAAGTTTGAAAATAGAAAGCAAAATTGTTTATTAAGGTTAAAAGATTCAAGTTAAAAGTTATCTGCATTGGTAGAGGGTCATTCTCTCTTAAACGGCAACATTTTTTTAAAAATAATTTTACAAGAGAAATGTAGATTCCTGACTTACCATACCTTCATGAAGTTTATGAATTAATTTTACCATCTGATTAAATTATATTTTCATAGAGATTATAGCTGAACTACGACAGTTCCTGAGAAACTATAAATATATTTATTGTTTTGTCCTCAGTAAAAAGATGTCGAAAATATCATACGTTAACAAGACGACAAGCAGTCTACGATCCAACTTTGATCAAAGAAGCTCAAGCTTTCACCTGAGGTATGCTTAAAACAGAGATCTGCGCAAAAATATAAAATAATTAAATAATATAACTCAGGGAATAGTTACTCCGCCAAGGCACCTGATCCCACCTGTGGAATTTCCGGCGCTCCGTGTTTTATGACCTGTTCACAGATTTGTATTGTTTGTAGGTTTTTTGAGATCGATCATCGCTCATTCTCATCTTTTTCGTTCCATTTTTAAAGCTAAAATTTGAAGCCATTGAAATTCTTCGATTTGATGGAAATCAAAGTGATTTCTAGGAAGCAAATCGTGATTTCCCTTGGAATTGTTAATGTTTCTATTCAATTGTATGGAATTTGAAGGTATATAAATTCCATTATTATTTAGGAAGTGAGAAGGCATTGTTCAAAATGAAATTATTTGCTCATTCTCATTTGAGAAAAAAAAAAGATTTAAATTAGTATATTGTGTGTCTTTGAAACATTTTATTGCGTTTCATTTTCGTTTTCTTGACCATTTAAACTATAATCCCAGATAGCAAGCTTACGTTGGGCCAACGCAAGCCCAACGGTGAAAATTGCGTTGGCCCTCTGTCAGTTTTATGCGTGGGCCCAACATCATCTTGCTCATCGGCCCTACGTTCAACCAACATGTTGGCTCGACTTTAGGCCAACATCCGATGGTTGGTTATCTGGCATTGGCCCAACAATGACCCAACGTTTAACTTCCTGTTGGCCCAATGTTGGTTCAATGTTTTTTAAAGCTAAGAATGAATGTTGAACCAACGTTGGCCCCACGTTCTATAAACATGTTGGCAAATGATCGGCGATTGAATTATTTTAGTTCAACAATATGAATTCCTGTAACCTTTTTATTTCCATAATTACGAGTAAAACACAATTGATTGAATAAATCCTGCATGGTAAATTATCTTGTTCCTCAAACAAATGTTCTATTTTTTTGTCACTCCTATGGAATGAAATCAACAGAGGGAAATAAAGGTAGTTCAATGTTTTCTTAAGTCTATCCCATATCACTTCAGTCACTATATAATATTCCTCTAGAATAAGAGTCCCAGTGTTCAAATTTGTGAAACTTTGGAATGTTCTCCTGCCCATATTACTTCTGAACCATTCACTCCTTTTTTCTTGTTCATGTTATTTTTTCTTTGTCTGTAAAATCTATGTCTCTCGCACTGATAATTGAGATAAATCACTCACTGTCCATTACATTCCAAACATCAATGGTCTTGTAACACAAAGGGTTTTCTCCCCACCAGATGCTATAAATGATATGAAAAATATATCAGTTTAATCCGTTCAAAAATGATGTCACTTACTACTTATAAGTTATAACTAAAAGAGTAAATATACATGCATATTTTGAAAATTGCAATTCTTGAATAACTTGTTCAACTTTACAAACTATGCTCAAGTTAAAGCTTTCACAGAGATAAAATTCAATCAATCACAACTAAAACGACTATACTTACATTTGAAGGGCTAAAACAATCCATTTTCTCTGTCTTGAAATTCAAAACGGACACGCACATGTATATGCTTTGTTCAATGTTGCAAGTGATAAGATGTGACCACTCCGAGTTTACGAAACAGAGCTGATTAGGATGCCTGTTTCCTAGGAAACCGGCCAGTCACCTGCTGAGCCAGTGGATTTCACCACTGACCTAATTATTTGGAGCTCTAAAATTCAGCACTTTAAGTTCCATGATGCTAAATATAGAATCTACAAAATTATATTCTGTGCAGAATAATTATTCTCTATTGAGAAGTTGATGGTTCGTTTTCATACTCCCCCTCAACTTCTCTACGAAAGGCCTAATAAAAGCAGTTCAGAAATTGACTAAATGAAGAACCAAAACCGAGTCCCACTTCGATCGGTGTTTTAGGATTGATGCATTATCATAGACATATTTTGGATGCACAGATGTTGTTTTGCAATGGAAATGCAATTAAAAATACCGATTCTGCTGACTTAAGAAACATTCATCACGGTAGAACACTTACTTGCGATATCTGTGTCACCGGATTCGTTTATTCATTCAATACTGCGTTTGAACCCGGTTGACCTATAAAAAAGTCTAAAACTTTTTATCCGGATAAATTGGATTAAATGTTTCAGTGTTAAATAGTTATCCGTAGAAATAGTTTTAGACTTTTTTAGAGGTCAAACGCAGTTTTGAATGAATGAACGAATCCGGTGACACAAATATCGCAAGTAAGTGTTCTACCGTGATGAATGTTTTTTAAGTCAGCAGAATCGGTATTTTTAATTGCATTTCCATTGCAAAACAACATCTGTGCATCCAAAATATGTCTATGATAATGCATCAATCCTAAAACACCGATCGAAGTGGGACCCGGTTTTGGTTCTTCATTTAGTCAATTTCTGAACTGCTTTTATTAGGCCTTTCGTAGAGAAGTTGAGGGGGAGTATGAAAACGAGCCATCAACTTCTCAATAGAGAATACAGAATAATTAAAACTTCTACATGTATTTGCAATGGTCTCGGACACACATTACAAACATAAATCAGTATTAAAAATCTTATTTTCATAAATTAGGTTCTGGAATAATTTTTCATTTTTATTTACACATACACTGTAAATTATTAATAAATGGGCTATTAAGATAATCCATTGTTCATAATATTTTAACGAAAGATAGATGTCTTTATTGAAAGGAGCTTAATTGGTTCTAAAAGATACAAATTTAATATGTGTAATTAACAGATCACCAACATGTATATTTAATTAAAGTTGATTTTATCCCAATATTCACTCCGTTGAACCAACGCTGGGCCAACGTTGAAAGCCATATCAATACCTCATTATAATCAAAATTTACTACGTTGGGCCAACATTGGACCAACATTACATGCCCAACACACATTTCATGTGTTTCATGTCAACATTACTTGGTTGGACCTACGTTGGGCCAACATCAAATGCCCAACATATAATGGTCATCTTTCATGCCAACATTTACTACAATGGACCAACATTGGCCCAACATCGCATACCCAACACCGATGGACCAGCTTTCACGCCAACATATCATCCGTTGGGCCAATGTTGGGCCAACATTTACCGCCCAACGCCAACACTATACCAACCTACCAACCATCAACCAACGTTGGCCCGATGTAGTCTTGCTATCTGGGATGGTACATAAGTTTTACATTTTAAGTTTTGTTAGGCATATATATTACCTCATATTTTTCAAAGCTTTAGAATCAAATTTATTTTTAATAAGTACGTACAGAAATAAATATATATGTTGAATTATTTTGTGGCAAAACTTCATAAAGACATTATCACGATATGTAGACATAATATCACGTGACCAATGTTGTGTTTCTAATTATAGGAACCTTAGTCTTCTGTGCTCTTCAGGTACTTGTACACTGTAATTGTACTACTGACCTCCTGACCCAGATAGAGGTTTTGTTTGTCATCAATACACATACCACTAGGAGAACGTATACCGTCTTCTGACGTCAGCAGTAGACGCAGAAACTGACCGTCTTGATCAAGGAGATGAACACTAGGATTAATAGGCCAGCTATTACACACCAATATCTGTCCTAAGATATCGGTGCAGATACCACGGGGAGAGAATTGAGACTGGAATTGTTGACCTGTATAGATAAACCTACGTCGTCCTGTGCTGTCTACTACTACGACTCGACCCCAACTTGATGTCAAAATGTCCCCGTTCTTATTTTCTGTGATGTATTGTGGTACGTATTCATACAGCCTCCGTCCATTAGTGTCGTTCTCAATGACCTTTGTCCAGCCTGTACTGTCATGTCTTGTGACTTTGCTGAGAAATTTCCCCTTTGATATCCTTGTAAACTGTATCAGAATTATATCGCCATTGATTCGAGAGTAGTGAATACAGTATGGTTCCCACTCTGTTGTAAGGAGAGTAGTGATGTTCCCGTTTGTTCCAAACTTTTTTACTTTTTGCTCATGTATATCAACAAATAACAGCTCTCCTTTCTCTGTGGTGTCATGAAATCCACTATATAAGGATCTGATAGGAAGATTATGTAATATTGTTCCGTTGCGGTGTACGTGTAAAAGCTCTTTAGAGCAATTGTGCGCCCAAAGTCTGTCTGAAGTGTCCAAAGACATATGATTTACACTGCTAGCTCCAGGTACAATAATTGTTGACAACTGTATAGGGGATGAGAGAATCGAAAATGTCTTTTCAACTAAGCCTGTTTAAATAACAGAATTTTAATCTTTATCATTCAAGACAAAAAAGTCACAGAAGAATTAATAAACCTACAATCGAATAGTAGGAGATCATTATCAATCTCATAGTTCACGTTATCATGAAATGCGAAGATAGTCATGCTCAAAGTCATAAAAGGAAATTCTTTAATACTCGGCACGATTAAAAAAAAAAGATTCAGAAGGCAAGAAATATGGTTCTTAAATAATAGAATTACACGAGTCACGTTTATGATTGAGTATGCAAATCTGTCTTACAAAAGAAATATCGATAAAAACATTGCTGGTACATGTAAGTATATAGCTTTTCATTTATATAATATCCTTCGGATTCTATAATTTCTCGTACATTGCACATCAACAATTATTATATAAAGCACATAAAACCCCAACCTTTAGACCGTTTAGCTCCCCTTTGATGATTATTCACCCGCCTTCCGTCCATAGTGCCTGTTTTAGAAAATTAAGCATGGTTTAAAATTGTATCATGATGCTTTATGTAAACGAGAATTTTAATTTCTTTTACAAGAATTTCAAGATTCAAAAGAATGATATCAGAAAAAAATAGCATTGTGTAAAATTTAGGGATAGGGAATAGAAGACGATGTGGGAGAGAAAAAAGAAAGAAATTAGCTAAACTTTAGCTGAAATTAAGCTCGACTGTATCACTGTGACATTTGAAGAAGACAAGATAGTTGTGTTGATACAAATCTAAACAGAAAATCGAACGTATCACACGTAATGAACTAAGAAGAAGTTTAAACAAACTTTGTTCCGTTTTTTTTATCGTGTGTTCAAGATTAAATATATAGTCTTTTACAAGCTGATCAATTGATTGATAGATAATTTTAGTTGTTCTCTCTTATATCCCTTTGCTCTCAAACAGTTAACGTACAAATAGTCAAATTCTTATTGCATATAAATTTAAAGGACGGGTTTTACAAGGAAATAATCGATCCAGTGTGAAAATTTGCTGGGCTTCAATGTTTAAAATTCCACTTGAGAACATAAACATTGTTAGTGTTAGCATTAAATAAATAATTAATAAAAGTCAATGTATGAAGACAAAATATATAAAAAATGATTTTTTTTTTTAGAAACGTAAAAGTTATAATACAATAATGAAAATAAAAATGGTTTACATACCTGTTTTCCGTGAGAGATACGAGGACTATTTTTAGGTCAGAATTCTAGTTTATTTATAGATCTCTCCGACAAGTTCGGAACTTGCATCTTTATCAGGGGAGGGCATTTAAGGACATTTATTATTCAGGTCTACCTTTTGTTTGTGTGATTTTGGTCCACATATATCTAGAATAAATATTCTGCATTCTTTCTCAAGCACGATGTTTTACATTTCTTTGTCATTGGCACATATTCCGTCAGCAATTCAAAAATTGATATATTAAAGGCTTTACCTTCAATTGGAAAGACATGAAATATCGATTGGTGATTTAACTTCCTACCAAAGGAATTTATTTATAAATCAGTTATATTGTGGGCATGTTCAAAAGAATTTATGTTTACTGGTATGGATGTGTAATTTTGTATAATGTACGATAGCTACATGGCCGTAGGCCGTAAAAAAACATTTATTCATTTATCTGTTTTAAGATAATCAAATGGATATACATTTAATATACTTACTTTTTTCTTGCATAACAAATCCACATTTATACTTGTACAATATTACATTTATATTTTATTCTGGTACTCCGGGAAAGAAAATCCAGTAGATTTTTTTCCCTTGTCCACTTTTTGATACGAAACATTTCGATGAGCGATTTATGGATGGAATTTGCAACATGCTATCAGCTATATCGTTGATTTAATGTGGGATTTGAAAAATTCTGAACATTGTTAAAATGTTTCCGCTTACATTTAAGTGCTGTTTTGGTCAAGGAAATTTGAATGTGTTATGATGTTACTTAATATTTTTGTCATACATGACTGCTAAATGTATCTTCTTTATCTTTTTACTGAAAACTTAAAGGGGCTTGGATACAAATTTGAAGTTAATATTTTCTCAATTTTTCTGTATCATGACTTATATGTTGTTATTTCATGACTTATATGTTGCTATAGTATTTCACACAAAATTATAATTAAAAAATTAATTTACCTGGAAATTATTGAAGCTACGAATTTCGGGACGCGATTGATTAACACATCCTTGCACTTTAAAATAAAGTCGTTATATCGTGTTAAAATATGACATGATAAAAGTAACTTTTGTTCTCCTCTTGAAAACAGTTATATTTCTTCATTTGAAAAAAAATCTGTCTCTTGAGCCCAGAAATGCTTTCTGACAAATTTTAAGTTTAAAAAGTAAACAAAAGATACCAACAGGCAAACATTCAATATGACAAGCCTTGATCTGATAAAAAAAACCTAAGCCTAATCACGTGACCGAATTTTATTTTCGTTATTATAGGAACCTTAGTCTTCCGAGACCTGTAGATACTTGTACACAGTGATTATATTATTTGTCTCCTGACCAAGATAGAGATTTTGTTTGTCATCAACACACAGACCACACGGGCGAAGTAAACCGTCGTCTGATGTCAAAAGTAGACGCAAAAACTGACCGTCTTGATCAAGAAGATGAACACTCGCACTATTAACCCAACAATTGCAAACCAATGCCTGTCCTAAATTATCAGTAGAGATACCGCTAGGCCTGAAATAAGACTGGAATTTTTGACCTGTATAGTTAAACCGATGTCGTCCAGAGGTATCCACTACTACGACTTGACCCGATATGCACGATGTCCAAATATCCCTGTTTTTATTTTCTGTGATGTATTGTGGTACATTTACATACAGCCTCCGTCCCTTCTTGTCTTTCTCAATGACCTGTGTCCAGCCTGTACTGTCATGTCTTGTGACTTTGCTAAGAAATTTATCTTTTGGTGTGCTTGTATATTGACCTAGAAATATTTCACCGTTTATCCGAGAGTAATGAATACAATATGGTTTCCATTCTGTTGTAAAAAGTGTGGTAATATCCCCGTCGTTTGAAAACATTTTGACTTTGTATTCATTTTGATCAACAAATAACAGGTCTCCTTTCTCTGTGGTGTCATGGAATCCACCCATTGTGAAAGATATAGAAATATTTTGTAATATCTTTCCATTATTGTCTATTTGTAATAGTTGATCATGGTATCTGTGTACCGATATTCTTTCTGACGTCACAATAGAGATATGACGTATACACTGAGCTCCAGGCACAGTTATAGTCGACAGCAGAATGGGGGAAGAAAGAATCGAAAACGTCTTATCAATGACCCCTTTAAAATAAAATCAAAAATTGTAAGAAAAAGACAAATCTTTCAATTGTCCATCAAAAAAAACATGACTAGTACTAGTGTTATATTTAGCTGACGTGTGTATAAGGCTTTCATATTGAACATTTCAAAAAATTATATATATATATATATATATATATATATATATATATATATATATATATATATATATATATATATATATATATATATATATATATATAAAGCACTAAATATGACCAACGGCACGAACAATAATAATTGTCAAATTTTCGGGACGACCTGTCCCTTCCTCAGGACAAAGAAAAAAGTTAAGAAGTCATAAAAACAAAGGAAATAGAGAAGCAAAAACAACTAGCACTACTACTAAACTACCAAACACTAAATATTTACAATGTTACATGTTTAATTTGGAGTTTATAAACAGATGTGAACAAAGAAATCCGGAGCGCTATGAACTCTGGTGAAGTGTGATTTACATAATTGAACGAATTAATTATCGCTAATTAATTACGACCAACAGTAAATCGTACATTGTCTTATTCTCTCAAGATAGCGTAACTCTACATGATAAAAAGAAATTAAAGAAAGATAATATGGAAGGACAATTTTGAAATATGAATTTGGATATATTATAAATTTGGAAATCGGAAAAAAGAAATAAACAAAAATGTAAGCTGTAAATATTTGGGTAGGTTGTTCCAGGATTGCTAATACGAATTAACGGTAAAGTTTACACTATACAGAGAGAATGAACTTGTTTGTTACAATCCGGGATTGGGTCTTGTTCACGTTCATCCTGGTGAAGTCATGAAGTTTGTTAATACCATTAGGGCGGAATGACTTCAGCCTGTGCATCCAGAACTTTTCCTTGCCTTTTCTCTGCGTGTCTGTCCATCTTGGATTATGGTCAATAACCACTACTGTCATGTCCTCTCATTTGTGACCTTCAAGGTTGAAATGTTCCCCAACGGGTTCATTGAGTTTTTTGGTCCTAATGGTAGAACGGTGATTATTGACTCTCCTGCGGAGATCTCCTGTTTCACCAACATACTGTTTGGAGCAAACTTTGCAACTGATGAGATAAATGCAGTTGTCTGTTTGAAAGGACAAATTCCCTAGTATTTTGTAGCTGCGGCCTGTAACGGGGCTGTTTAAGCTGTCTGTGTCAGAGCTGTACTTACAGAGAAGAAATCTTCTGTCAGAGCAAGTTTTAAAGCCCCCGTTAGGTAATGGATTGTCCAATCTGGTTCTTACTACCATGTACTTTAGGTTCCTCGGGCGTCTGTATGCAGCCAATGGGGGCTCCTTAAAGACCTCTGCCATTCGTTTATTTGAGTGGAGAATTGGCAGATTATTTTGAAAGATACCGCTGAGGTTTTTAAGGACGGGATGGTATGATGTTACCAGAGGGACCCTGCCGCTATTGTCTTTTTCCTTGTAGCGTAATAGGTTTTGACTGTCATGTCCCGCCATCTCATCAATAGCAGTTTGTACGGTGCGGGCATTGTAGCCTCTCTTGCATAAGTGGGACTTAAGGAGACCGCTTTGTTCTTGATATAAGGCAGGGGATGAACAGATGCGCCGAATTCTGGTGACTAGACCCTTAGGCACACCATTAAATGTGTGTGGAGGATGACAGCTAGTTGGCATAAGATACAGATGGGAATCTGTGGGTTTCGTGTGGAGACTGAACTCGATTTCACCATCAGTCAGAGTAGATGTAGTATCTAGGAATAGGTTTTTCGAATTAGATATGTCTACTGTAAATTTGATAGACTGATGAAAGGTGTTGGCAAACGAAATGAATGCCTCGGGGCTCTCGCGACATTCCACCCACTTCATCTCTATATCGTCAATGAAACGCAACCAGCTAAGGGGCCTAAATGGTGCTTGAAGTAGCAAGTTGCGCTCCAGTCTGCCCATGAAAATATTGGCATAAGATGGTGCCATTTTCGAACCCATAGCAGTGCCATTAACCTGCAGGTAATGTTCTCCATTAAACATGAAGTTGGTATACTTGAGAACATGTTCAAGGAGCTTAGCAAGAGAAAAGGCAAGGAAAAGTTCTGGATGCACAGGCTGAAGTCACTCCGCCCTAATGGTATTAACAAACTTAATGACTTCACCAGGATGAACGTGAACTAGACCCAATCCAGGATTGTAACAAACCGTACAAACTGCTATTGATGAGATGGCGGGACATGACAGGCAATACCTATTATGCTACAAGGAATATGTATGTATGTATGTATGTATGTATGTATGTATGTATAATAAAACCCCGACCTTTAGACTGCTTAACTCCATTTCCATCACTGTTCACTCGCCGTCCCTTCATATCATCTGATCTAAAAGTAAAGGTATGATTGAAACTGTGTCATGGTGTTTTTTAGGTGTTTCAATTGAAAAATCATTTTTGAAAATGATACATATTTTTCTAAGTTTGAATATGTTACCAGAATAAAGTTCTTTATCTAATAACATATTTTAAACTTCGACTTGTATGCTAAAAGGATGAGGAATGATAATTGTTTTGTGTGTGTCTGGGGTGGTGGTGGTGGTGGTGGTGTGTGTGTGTGTGTTGATACAAACATTTTAAGAGGGAATCAAACGTTACATAAAACCTGAGTAATACGATATTGATGACTCGAAATCCACTTCCTTTCACCCTTTGATCCTTTGGAACTATAATATGTAAAAAGTTAATAGCAAAATGCATTCAAATGCACTCATAAGAATTGATAAGAAATGGGTTTATTTCTGTTTTGTTGTTTTACGTCCCTTGCGAGAAGATTTCACTCATATAGAGAGTCTGACATCATGACATACTTGTGAAGGGCTTCAAATTTAGACCTTTACTCGGCACTTACGGCTATTGAGCAGTGAGGGATTTTTAATGTGCCAACGCCTCGGTTTTTAAGGTTTCCCCCGAAGTACCTCGAACCTTCACTGCCGAGAGCTCAGCGAAGGAACAGTTGCAACCTATTTTTATCGACTTAGTTCATTCGCGGCCGGGGATTGACCGACGACCATCTGGTCACGAAACTGTACCGACTTATAAATAGCTACATGTACAGTGACGGTGACAAGAAATAGAAAGTGTAAGCAGGAATTTTGACCGCTGTCTGAAAGACTCCGTGAGCTACCGGGGTTTATTTTTTTTTCCAGACCGGATACAGATGCTATAGTGACTTCTAAGCGACGTTGTAATATTTTCTAAGACATTTTTTGAGAGAGAGGATCAGTATCAGCGCAAAAAGTTGCGCAATCGGCTATGAAAAAAAAATGATCACAAGAGGGCCATTTTAAGCTGTTGTATTGAAATAAGGACACGTGCAAGTTCGACTGAAGTAGACAAGACAGAATGCGTCGATGACGCAGGTGTCGTATTTGCAGGTGAAAATACTTATTGCGTGTTAGCAATTTTGTAGGAAATGTGAATATAACGAATACTGATAACTCTCAAAGGTCAATTTAGAATTTACAAATTATGAGCAAAGCCAACGCAGTCCTCTGAAAACAGATGTGATCAGGTGCCATGGAGGAGTGAGCATCTCTGTTCACTGGTCACACCTGGCATGTGCTCTTGTCATGATCGTGTAAACGTAAAATCCGTAGACAATTCAATGTGAAAACCTTGGCCCTAGAAAATGTGAAAGATGCCATTCTACATTCGACTTAAGATAGATTGTCATTGCAAACAACATCATTATATTGACCATAGAATTTGCGAAATGTTGTTTTTAATTAAGTTTATTGATATCCTTGTATCATCAACTTATTTGTCAATAGTCTGTCTCGTTTTTAGAAATTGTTCGTACGTAAAACATGCTTTTGTGTATCGAATTAAATGGAAGACATAAATATATGCAGGTAATAAGAAATTATATATATTGCTGCATGAATAATGGAAATTTTCGATTAGTTATTATTGATTATTACATGAACATTCAGTCGTTTGACCAGTTCTGAATTTTGATCAGTTCCGAATAATTAATAATTTAAGAGCTGATATTAATAAATTCCAAAGCGTAAACATAAATTCATAACTACGGTAGAAATGGTTATTTATGGGCGTTAGAATTATGTGTAGTTTTCTTTTTTGCCGTCAGTATGTGTTCGCTTTCGTACTTGAAACAGGCGACATACTTTTACAATGCAACAAGTCTGAATGAACGCTTGTCTGCAGAAAAAGTCTGTAAAGACGTCAGTTTTTCACATAAAACAACATTTCAGCTATCAAAAGTTAGTTTGATATGTATTTTAACAAATACCAAAGCTTGTCGAAAATAAATATTTAGACCACCGGAAGATATCGGAATATTTTCGTGTTGTTATTTTACTAGTTCCGAATACCCATTATAAACACTATATAATACGTTAGTTTTCTGTTATTTCTTCAATGTTAATGTGACTGTTATTTCTCTCTATCCTTTGGAAATACCACTTACTTACTGGTAAGCATTTAGTTGAACTTTTCGTAGGCAAGTCAATTGATATTGTGTAGGTTGGATATTTTTAATTTAGGATCGAATTGCATGGGAACCGCTAAGGTATTCGGAACTCCTCGGCTTATTCTTAACTAGTAATAAAATTAGTACCAATGTTAACTTGCTATAAAATAAAAATTTCCTTTTTTGTTTGAATGAACTTTTATGAAACAGCATTTAATTCTGCAAGTCATTGAACTACGACAAACAACTTAGATTTTGAAATAATGCCGTCATATATTTATAGCACCGACAAATCGGTTCCCTATTCGCAGCTGGTCAAACGATTGTATGATTTGACACGTCAGATAATTAC